AATACTGACTATTGTAACTCCCTCCTCATTGGCCTACCTAATCACAGGCTATCCCCTCTTCAGTCTGTCATGAATGCTGTTACCTGACTCATCCACCTTACCAACCATTCCATATCTGCCATCCCTCTCTGCCAATCTCTCCACTGGCTTCCCATTGCCCAACGAATAAAATTCAAAACATTAATGATCACATATAAAACCATTTATAACTCTGCCCCACATTACATCACCAATCTTGTCTCCAAATATCACCCAAACTGTCCGCTGCTCCCACAACCTCCTGCACTCTAACTCCCTTGTCGCCTCCTCCCATGCTCATCTCCAGAACTTCTCCAGAGCCTCCCCCATCCTCTGGAACTATCTACCTCAATCTATCAGACTATCGCCTACTCTGCCCACTTTTAGGTGATCTTTGAAAACCCATCTCTTCAGGGAAGCCTATCCTGCCTTCAGCTAATGGCGAAATCTTCTATTCCTTCTACCAGTCCATTCCCCACAGTTATTACCTTTTTGTATCGTCAGCCCCTTCCACTTAGATTGTAAGCTCCAAGGAGCAGGGCCCTCCTAACCCTCTTGTATTGAACTGTATTGTTGCTGTATTGTCTCCCTTTATTTTGTAAAGCGCTGAGCAAACTGTTGGCGCTATATAAATCCTGTATAATACTAATAATAATACTGTACATTTTTCTTTCTGGGTATAAATGATGGTGTAGTAGGGAGCTGGCACGTTATTTGACTTTTTCAACTGGTTTGACGTCAGAGTGAATTCTGATTGGTTGCTATGGAATTCTTAATTTAAGAATAAGCACTTTTAAATAAGAACTGTCCACTCAAGGAGGCTGTATGAGATATGTGCACCAGCTGTTAGAAGGGAAGTTAGTAGACTTTCTTAGAACATTGCTAGCAAGCCTTGGAAAAAAAAAAATTGGTTAGGTGGTTCCAAAATACAATGATTGGGTAGTGAGGAGTGGATTTGGTTGCTGAAAGCTAAATTAGGATAGATCTCCATTAGCTGTAGCTCTTGAATTTGCAGATAAAACGTCATCAGGAGGGGGGGGGTCAATGTCAAAATGTCAAATGAAACCATACTGAAATATTGTAAGACCCTGATAAATATTCTCTGTAATGATCACAATCAAGATTTTGAGAACAGTTGTGGGATGAGAGGGTCACAGCAGATATGAGATAGGCCAGCACCATATGTGAAAGGGAGAGTTGGGATTGTTAAGAGACTTTAGTAAACTGAAATAAAAGTCTAAATGGAATCTATGTACCATGATTGGTAGGAAAAACTTTGAGTTCCTGGATAGGATGGTTTAGGTGTTGTTCCAGCACGGTGCAGATAAGGGTAGTAAAACATTTCTAGCAGTTTAGTGAGGTCTCTGTAATTTGTGGAGAATCCGACTGAATAAACAGAACATAGTAGTTGTGCTTAATTTCTCACTTATTTTTTATGGTCAATGTGAGAAATATTTTCCTTTTTTGTACTCGGCAAAATGTGAAATATTTCAAATCGTTTTTGTAACTCATTGGTGGAGCTTTAACTGCATGTCTTACAGAGTGAACGAAATCAAATGAGTGAGAGAAATGACTCCTCACCCTGTCCCACTGTGTTCTTACAACTCCATTGAATTCTCATTTAGAGAGAGTCTAAAACCAAACAGCTTCTGCTGTTTTTAGTGCTCTCTTTAGCGAGCCCATAATGCTCTATGAATTCTGTATCATATAATGAATATTCCCTTTGCTTAAATGTTTATTGGTGAAAAAAGGTATTTTTTAAACCGTAAATTGTAAAGCAAATATATAAAACATCAGATTCAAATCACAAAAAAATGTAAATAATTCTATTTGAATCTACAAGGGTTTTTGAAACTACAAATGCATTTGTCTACTGCTGACTTCTTTACATTAACTCTATACTACAACTCAAATATCTTTATATTAATGTATATATTAATTCATTTAGTACATAAATGTATACTATAAATCTATGCACTATATAAATACACTTCTAGGAGTTAAAATGTATCAAAACCCAAGAACACAAAATGTAATATATTGCGGCATACCTGTCTTTAAATGTGATGGATGCATATGATTTAATCCATGATGTAATTTTATGCCAAGAACTAATTTCCTTTCATAGAGTTATCTCACTAGGGCAAGACGTTTGTTAGAACTTCTCTTCTTCTCTGTAACATGGAGGGGGGGGGGGTTCTGAAGTCCACACAGAGAACTGAGCAGACCTGATAATATTGATATTTCATCAATGCATTGTCAGCTCACTAGAGGAAGTTATGAACTCACTGAATACCTGGCAGGATCAACAGTTTTTTTTTTATTTTACACTTATACATAGATACAGAACACAGATGATTTTAGTAGTATCTTTACGAGACCAAAAGTAATCAGGTTCTAAAAATTCATTTTTAGGGTTTACATACACTTTAAGGTAAGTCTTGGTGTCCTACAAAATAATCAGCTCTGCACTGTTCAGGTGTTCACAATGAGTGAATAATTATATGTGATATCAGAACTCGATCTGTTACTGCAAACCAATCTACTAAGGTCAAATATCCACTGATCCTACTTTATGTTAAAATTTTTAAATTAAATATATCAAATGACCCTTCTGCTGTGAATTGCTAAATAGGGTTCTTTGGTTCACTATACTATTTGTTTGGATCGTTTCGTTTCCAGCTCAGACTGACCAAATCACTCCTCTCTAAGTATAGGAAAATATTAAAAGGTGATGGACTAGAGCGGAGATTTTTTATTAATGTAAAAAAAAATTTTTTTTTTGTTTAAATTTATGCCATGTATATGGACCATACAATTATATAATAAATATGACACAATGGACTGTGGAATAATTAAGCTCTTGCTGTGCTGACATATGAGTCTATGTTCCTCTAGCAATGCTTTCATCTCATTTTGCCTTTAACACAATGGAACATCTGTTTTCCTTTCCAATTAATTTTAAGCTATTCTATATATACTCAACTGCTTTACATTTGTTTGTTTAGTAGTTTCTTTTTTCATGTATTAAACCAAGTATGTTACGTGTGAGGCAAGACCATAATGTCGTACTGAGGAGACTATTTCAGAAATCGTTTTTACATTTAGAAGTATAATACCAAGTGACCAGCAGTGAGGAGTTAATGGTTTTGTTAATTTTTGCAAATGGAAGTCTATGAATTGCACAGAAACGGGGTGGGGAGCTTGAGCCTACTTGATCTATACGTGTTACAAAGAATTATTCAACTTGGCTGCTATGCTCAGAGAAAGTCTATAATTAAACTGTTTTTCTATTTATCCAACATTTTTTCAAGTATTTTCAAGTATTCTTTTTTAAAAGGGAAATTGCACAGGTCAGTTCTATTCTAGTTAGAAGTTTGTGTTTTGAAATTGTTTCATAAATTTATATATATATATATATATATATATATATATATATACATACATATACATTATATTTCCAAAAGTAGTGGGACGCCTACCTTTACACGCACATGAACTTTAACTGCCTCCTGTCCGCCTTCTGGGAGCATGTCATATGACTTCTCCCACTCTAGCTGCGCATGCACACTCACAGGGGCATGCAAAACGATGTTCAGCGATGTGCTGTGTCCCTTGGACACAGCGCATCACCGATCGCAGTAAAGAGCCGATGACACAGGCTCTATCATGTGATCAATTGTGTCCAATCATAGCTGGTCACATGTAAATAGGTTTTCAGCAGTCCTCTCCTCACGCTGACAGCCCCTGAGGAAAGGAGAGCCAGTAAGCGGCATTCCTCAGAGGGGACATCTACACTGATCATCAGGGCACTGATTATCAGTGTAGCCCCATCATTGCCACCTGTCAGTGCACATCAATGCCACCTGTCAGTGCACATCAATGCCACATATCAGTGCCCATCAGAGCTTCCTTTCAGAGCCAACTATCAGAGCCAGTCAGTGCCCACCAGTGATGCCTGTCAATGCCCATTAGTGCTGCCTGTCAGTACCCATCACTGTAGCCTCATTAGCACACATCAGTGAAAGAGAAAAATTACTTATTTACAAAATATTATAAAAGAAACTAAGAAAAAAATTTTTTCTTTTCAAGATTTTCAGGCTTTTTTTGTTTGTTTAGCAAAAAAAATAATAAACCCAGTGGTGATTAAATACCACCAAAAGAAAGCTCTATCTGTCTAAAAAAAAATGCTAAAAATGTTGTTTGGGTACAGCGTTGCATGACTGTGTAATTGTCATTCAAACAGCACTGAAAGCTGAAAATCGGCCTGGGCAGGAAGGGGATAAACGTGCCCAGTAGGAAAGTGGTTAATGGCATCCCAGTCTTAGTCTGTAGGGTTCAATATTGAGTTGGCCAACCCTTTGCAGCTATAACAGCTTCAACTCTTCTGGGAAGGTTTAGGGATGTGTCTATGGGAATGTTTGACCATTCTTCCAGAAGCGCGTTTGTGAGGTCAGGCACTGATGTTGAATGAGAGGGCCTGGCCTAATTCATCCCAAAGGTGTTCTGTCGGGTTGAGGTCAGGACTCTGTGCAGGCCAGCCAAGTTCCTCCACCCCAAACTTACTCATCCATGTCTTTATGGACCTTGCTTTGTTCACTGGTACGCGGTCATGTTGGAAGAGCAAGGGGCCATCTGCAAATTGTTTCTCACAAAGTTGGGAACATGAAATTGTCCAAAATGTCTTGGTATGCTGACACCTTAAGAGTTCCCTTCACTGGAACTAAGGGGCCAAGCCCAACCCCTGAAAAACAACCCCACACCATAATCCTCCCTCCACCAAACTTTACACTTGGCACAATGCAGTCAGGCAACTACCATTCTCCTGGCAACAGCCAAACCCAGATATGTCCATTGGATTGCCAGACAGAGAAGTGTGATTTATCACTCCAGAGAACACGTCTCCACTGCTCTAGAGTCCAGTGACAGCATGCTTTACACCACTGCATCTGACTCTTTGCATTGCACTTGGTGATGTAAGGCTTGGATACAGCTGCTCAGCCACGGAAACCAATTCCATGAAGCTCTCTATGCACTGCTGTGTTGTGCTAATCTGAAGACCACACGAAGATTGGAGGTCTTTAGCTATTGACTCTGCAGACAGTTGGTGACTTCTGTACACTGTGCGCTTCAGTATGCGCTGACGCCATTTTACGTGGCCTACCACTTCGTAGCTGAGTTGTTGTTGTTCCCAGTTGTTTCCACTTTATTATAATACCACTAACAGTTGACCGTGGAATGTTTAGTAGCAAGGAAACTTCATGGATGGACTTATTGCACAGGTGACAACTAGAGATGAGCGAATCGAACCAGGCGAAGTGGAATTCGATTCGAATTTCAGGAAAAATTCGATTCGCGTCGAATCCGAATATTAGCCTACTTCGGGTGCGCGAATCGGATTTTTCCCGATCAGCCGGCAAAAGTGTCCCTGCAGAGAGCTCCGCTATTTCTGACAGTTCTCTGACAGTTCCTTCACATGTACAGCGGTTGAAACATTGTATCTATTTGTTTCCATTTAGGATACAGATGTTTTTATTCGGAAACAGATACAATGTTTCAACCGCTGTAAATGTGAAAGTCAGAGAACTGTCAGAAATAGAGGAGCTCTGCAGATACACTTTTTGCCGGTTTGGAATTATTCTTATTTTCATCCTACTTCTTCTTCTTCTTCTTCTTCATCCTCATCCTCAGAAGAAGAAGAAGAGGATGAGGATGAAGAAGAAGAAGAAGATTCCAAGCCGGCAAAAAGTGTATCTGCAGAGCTCCTCTAAGTGTATCTGCAGAATAGAGGAGCTCTGCAGATACACTTTTTGCCGCTTGGAATTCTTCTTATTTTCATCCTACTTCTTCTTCTTCTTCTTCCTCTTCATCCTCATCCTCATCCTCTTCTTCTTCTTCTGAGGATGAAGAAGAAGAAGAAGAAGAAGAAGTAGGATGAAAATAAGATAATTCCAAGCCGGCAAAAAGTGTATCTGCAGAGCTCCTCTAAGTGTATCTGCAGAATAGAGGAGCTCTGCAGATACACTTTTTGCCGGCTTGGAATTCTTCTTATTTTCATCCTTCTTCTTCTTCTTCTTCTTCTTCTTCATCCTCATCCTAAGAAGAAGAAGAGGATGAGGATGAGGATGAAGAAGAAGAAGAAGAAGAAGAAGTAGGATGAAAATAAGAAGAATTCCAAGCCGGCAAAAAGTGTATCTTCTTCTTATTTTCATCCTACTTCTTCTTCTTCTTCTTCTTCATCCTCTTCATCCTCATCCTCATCTTCTTCTTCTTCTGAGGATGATGATGAGGATGAAGAAGAAGAAGAAGAAGAAGTAGGATGAAAATAAGAAGAATTCCAAGCCGGCAAAAAGTGTATCTGCAGAGCTCCTCTCTATTCTGCAGATACACTTAGAGGAGCTCTGCAGATACACTTTTTGCCGGCTTGGAATTCTTCTTATTTTCATCCTACTTTCTTCTTCTTTCTCTTCATCCTCATCCTCAGAAGAAGAAGAAGAGGATGAGGATGAGGATGAAGAAGAAGAAGAAGTAGGTAGGATGAAAATAAGAAGAATTCCAAGCCGGCAAAAAGTGTATCTGCAGAGCTCCGGCTTGGAATTCTTCTTATTTTCATCCTATTCTTCTTCTTCTTCTTCATCCTCATCCTCTGAAGAAGAAGAGAAGAGGATCTGAGGATGACATGAAGAAGAAGAAGAAGAAGAAGTAGGATGAAAAATTCTATTTCTGACAGTTCTGTGACATTCTCTCCATACAGCGGTTGAAACATTGTATCTATTTGTTTCCATAAATGGAAACAAATAGATACAATGTTTCAACCGCTGTATGGAGGGAATGTCACAGAACTGTCAGAAATAGCGGAGCTCTGCAGATACACTTAGCGGAGCTCTGCAGATAGATACAGCGGTTGAAACATAGGCTATGTTTCAACCGCTGTGTATGGAGTGAATGTCAGAGAACTGTCAGAAATAGCCTATTTCTGACAGTTCTCTGACATTCACTCCATACAGCGGTTGAAACATAGCCTATGTTTCAACCGCTGTATCTATCTGCAGAGCTCCGCTAAGTGTATCTGCAGAGCTCCGCTATTTCTGACAGTTCTGTGACATTCCCTCCTCCATACAGCGGTTGAAACATTGTATCTATTTGTTTCCTTCTCCTTCTTCTCATCCTTCTCCTTCTTCTCATCCTTCTCCTTCTCCTTCTTCTCATCCTTCTCTTCATCCTTTCTTCTTCTCATCCTTCTCCTTCTCCTCTCCTTCTCATCCTTCTCCTTCTCTTCTCCTTCTTCTCATCTTCTCTTCTCATCCTTCTTCTTCTCCTTCTTCTCATCTCCTTCTCCTTCTTCTCATCCTTCTCTTCTTCTTCTCTTTCTCATCCTTCTTCTCATCCTTCTTCTCATCCTTCTCCTTCTTCTCATCTTCTCATCCTTCTCCTTCTCTCATCCTTCTTCTCTTCTTCTCCTTTCCTCTCCTTCTCCTTCTTCTCATCCTTCTCCTTCTCCTTCTTCTCATCCTTCTCTTCTCCTTCTTCTCATCCTTCTCCTTCTTCTCTTCTCTTCTCCTTCTTCCTTCTTCTCATCCTTCATCCTTCTCCTTCTTCTCATCCTTCTCCTTCTCCTCTTCTCATCCTTCTCCTTCTCCTTCTTCTCATCCTTCTCCTTCTCCTTCTTCTCATCCTTCTCCTCTCTCCTTCTTCTCATCCTTCTCCTTCTCCTTCTTCTCATCCTTCTCCTTCTCCTTCTTCTTCTCATCCTCTCCTTCTCCATCCTTCTCATCCTTCTCATCCTTCTCCTTCTCATCTTCTCCTTCCTTCTCCTTCTCCTTCTTCTCATCCTTCTCCTTCTCCTTCTTCTCATCCTTCTCCTTCTTCTCATCCTTCTCCTTCTCCTTCTTCTCATCCTTCTCCTTCTCCTTCTTCTCATCCTTCTCCTTCTCCTTGTCCTTCCTCATCTCCAAGGGCATTTAAATTAAAGGTACAGTGTTCTGCACTAATTTAAAGGCTCTCTGAAGCCTAGAAACCCTTTTAATAAGTTAAATTCGTAGCGAATTAATTCGCATCGAATCGAATTTCTTCCTCAAATTCGGCGAATCAGCCGAATCGAATTTTTGAATAATTCGCTCATCTCTAGTGACAACCTATCACGTTGCCACGCTTGAATTCACTGAGCTCACTGAGAGAGATTCATCCTTTGATAAATGTTTGTAGAAGCAGTCTGCATGCCTAGGTACTTGATTTTATACACCTGTGGCCATGGAGGTGATTGGAACACCTGAATCTAATGACTTGGAGGGGTGTCCCAATACTTTTGGCAATACAGTTTATCTACATCTCATACAGAATAAAGATTGTTTTAGCAACGTGGCTTCTTTCTATTACATACAAATTTAGACGCTTCCAGCTTTTTAATTTAAATTTTGGAGTTTTTAGGAAATAGCGTTTGATTCAACAACTTAGAATGTAAACGTTATTGTAGGCAAAGCTTGGATCTTCAATGGTTTAGCTAAATAAAGTCCTTCCAGATTAAAGTATAACCCTGATGATGATAACATCTATCTTCCCTTCTTTTATTCTTAAGTTGGTAAAGAGTGAATATAAATGTATTTTATATTTACTTTTATAAACTAATTTCAATACTGTGGATTTAGTATGCCTTTTATCATTTGTTAACCAAGAATACCCACAGAACATCTGCCTATGTGACACATTCATGAAGCTGTTTTGTTTTAAAGATGCCTTACAAAATGTTGGCTTTGCTTTGTTTGCTCTCTGTCATATGTATGTCATAGGAATTAGAACACAGACACACAGCTGCACTAATGGGACTTGTGACTCCTGAAAAAAAGAAAAGCCTCAGTAATAATATATGTGAATTTCAGTCCGTGACCACCTGCATGCGTCATGGAGACGGGAAGAAGCCCTTAAATGTTTAATAAACTTGTTCTTTGTCTCCCTTTTGTATGGGATGCTATTAATAACTAAACTGGCAGGACCGTATCGCTTCCTCGTTACTATAGCATCAACTAGTGTAGCATCTCTCCCAATATCAGGGACACATGACAACCAAATGGGATCATTGTCACTTCTCAGAATTCTAGGGCACTGACTGGGCACGTGTACAATATTAGATGGGTCTTTTCTTCTTTCAGTTTCCCTAGAAAATCATTTGTAAACAGTGTACCTTTGTTTTATTTTAGAAATGGGAAGTTTAGCACAGTCAGTCCTATAGTGTTGCTGCATAAGACTTAGTCGTTTTGAGCTTCACATGTGAAAATAGGTTGCTTGGGTTTACTGCTATCCTGCACAGCTGTCAGCTTCCCCTCCAGATAGAAGATCACTGATGTGAGATCCACTGCTCCATCTACTACTGGGATAATTACACTTGTCATAACCTGTGCTCTATTCAAACATCTCATTTGAAAGTCACAGAGAAGTCACTTTTTAATTCAATAAGTGGAAGCTTGGAAGTGTTGGGGACGTAGATCTGGCTTTTGTTGACATGAGCTGGTGAAACTTTGAACCATTTTTCCAACGGAACGGGCAAAGCTGGTTCTGGATGAGAGAAAGTAAGGATGAGTGGTCTGCAGTAGAGTTGACGCCATAACCATATACAATGCCTTTCCAAGCACTCAGTTCATTCAAGGAAAAAATCCTGAATCCTGGAAAGGAGGAGGCAAAGAATAACATCAGTGACTCACTGGGGCACCTGCAAAGGTAAGGAAAACTTTTTTACATCTTTTATTTTCTCTCTATTTTCCAGATTGGTGCTTCTCAGCCCTAGTCCTTGATGGTTTCCATCAGGTTCTGCTTTCCTGGTCTCCTTATAGGTTTCCAATCTAAATATTGGGGAAGGTTCTTTAAAAAGCTATTAATTCATTTAGCTGGGTAACTACCTGAAAGCTTAGATCCCAGGACTTACTGGTGTCCACTGAGAAGTTAAATGGAGAAACACTTTTCTGGAAAAGCAGTGCATTCCAGCCTGATGCAGATCCTGTTGTCCAGACATACAGGTATAAGAACAATTGTATTCATTAGAATGATTATTTAGGTATATACTGAATTTAATATTTGATTACCTTTATGTCAAACTGTATTATACATGAATCTTTTGCACATTATTTTTATTATAGGTAGTTATGAATTCAGTGGTTATTTTCTAAATTAATTATTGAATGAATGCCCAAATGAAATAATGGATACCCCAAATGCCTTTTGTATAAGTGAATGTGTATACACAAGTACACACAGCAGTTATACTGAAAACAATAATAAAAAAGCAGGAAAAAGACAAGAAAAAAATTAGTAATAATTTTGTTTTAAGGATTAGAATTTCAGCAGTTTGTCAAATGAAAGGGTCAGTCCATCCAAAAGTGACTTTTCAATACAAAGAGAATAGTGGCCTCTCACCCGGTAGCTATTTGGGACTTTGGTAGTAAGATCTCTCTACCATAGTCCTCATTTCTTTTCCTGCCCACTTTGGACTCTCACTGTTCCTGCTGAACCATGGGTATTCCTAGTATTTCTGTTGCTTTTCTTCTTAATACAAAACATACCCAACAGAAAGAGCTGGACCACCTTAAAATGGGATCAGATTTAGAAACTCAATAATAAGGATTTTACCTCTGGGGTCCATGAACCCTGAGACATAAGAAACCACTAGATGTGTTAATTCATCCCAGCATCTACCTAAAACTGAAATATCAATTATGGATAGACTGCCCCATTAACGGTTTATGGTTTATTTCATCTTGCATATTAAAAGCCTGTATCAGTGTACTTCTTAAACAGGTTTATTGAAGAGTTTTAATTCTTCTCACATGTTCTATTTTTTCCATTTTATATTAAATAGAGTAAGCATTTTATATACACATTCACTAACAGGTTATTGTTTTACATTATAAAAGAGCAGTACAATTACTACATTTACCCTTTCTATGGAGGGAAAGAAAAGAACATATGTTTATTGTGTTTCAAACAAAAACACATAAAATAATATTTTTCAGCACCAAGCAAATAATACTGTTAGCTTCAACATGGGATTTAATACTGTCAGTTAAATGTCCAAGTATATTAAAAACAAAAAGATTCACAAACAATTGTTTTAGGTTACTTTGATCACAAAGGAGCCTTTTTTTTAATTAAAACTTTATGGTTTATTGTGTATTAAACTATAAGTTTTACCCTGTGTGTACTTCTTTTTTTTGAGAGTTCTAGTAATAAAGATTTTGTTGTGTGTGTTATACAGACCATTTGATCAGTGAAGACCCATACACAAGGAATATATACTCACTGTATACACCATGCTTTTGACTGTGTTTATTGTCACATCCACATTACTTGCATGATAAGAGCTGAAACATATTTAAGATATAACAAAATTTGATATGCGACTCTGTTTTTAACATTTGTGTGCTATATGCTGTAAAAACATTAGTATGTCTCCATTAACAACTCGATTAAAAATAAATGACTCTTTTTTTTGGATCTGTATGACAGCTGAGATATGTGAATACTGTGTGCTGTAAGTGGGGAAATATTGTACACTATTGTATTGCTTTTTAGTTCTTTATTGTACATCCAGCATTTATATACGTAGTGCACTGGGTGTACGTTATATGACACAGCATAGAGTAACTTCTCTAAAATACAAGATATAAAGGTATTGTCAATGGCAGGGATCCTCAAATGTTCAGTATGAGGGGCACATTGTATGTTTTGCAAATAATTGCAGGCTTAAAAAAATCAATTATGTAAATGAATGAATAACAATTTAAATAAATAAATACATTTTATTTGAAGCTTTTTTCCACATGATATTCAGAGCAACAGAGAAAGAATTTTAGTAAAACAAAGCAACAAAATTCCAAATTAACTTGAGCCATTAATAAAGGTTGATGTATATATTTTGAATTATAAAAATATAAATTTAGTCTGCTCCTTACTCATCAGACTCCCTTTAAATCAAGGGTCTCTGTCAGATTTCCCCCTCACGATCAGGGGCGGACTGACCATTTGGAAACTCGGGCACTGCCCGAGGGCCCGGGGTCAGTAGGGGGCCCCATGAGATGCCCCTGGTACCTTTTTCATAGGCTTTTTTTGAGTTTGGCCAAGGACACAGGGGCCCCATGATCCCCTATTGCCCGGGGCCCCATGAGTTGTCAGTCCGCCCCTGCTCACGATAAATCCCTATAACTGCCCCCTCTACATCAAGGTCCCCATCAGAGTCTTACATTGCTTCAGAGTATGTCTTACTTCAGAGTTCCCCTTTCATCAAAGCCCCCTTATATTGATGTTCAGATCTCAGTTCTCCCTTGCGTCAGGCTCCCCAGCAGAGTCCCCATTTTAAATCATGGTCCCCATTAGATTCCCTCTTTACATCACAGTTTTTCTAACATCAGAGTTACCCTTTCATCAGAGTCTCCCTTTACATCAGGGTCCCCTTCAGAGTCCTACTTACACCAGGGTCACCATGAGAGTCCCCCTTACATAAGTGTCCCCATCAGAGCCCCTCATACATTAGTGTCCCCATCAGAGTTTCCCCTTACATCAGTATGTCCATCAGAGTCCCCCCTTATCTCTGTTTACAAAGCAGTGTAGCAGCAGGGTGGGAGCCAGAAGGTGGAGCAAGTGTGAACAGAGGAAATTCTGTCCTCCCGTGAATGCTGGGGCAAGCACATCATTGGTTTCTAAGATGCTGGTGGTCCTTGGACCGACACAGTGCAGAGGGTAGAGGTAACCCGTGCTCTTGCACTAGACACTTAGTGGGGGTCCATGGTGCTGTTGGGGGGGGGGGGTAGAGACTGTAAACATTAGCTAATGGGGTGGGAGGGGGGCTGTGCACAATAGCTACAGGCTGGATAAAATCTTGGAGCGGGTAAAAAAAAAAATATTGGATGGAGCCGTAGTTTGGAGACCGCTGGTCTATGGCATATCACCTTAGATTTATTGAAATACATGCAAACTCTTTTAAAGTGGTATTAAACCCCAAATACAAAATTTAATATATTGCACCTTACCAAGTAGTAGATGTTGTGGCTGCGTTTGGTTTCTTTTTTAAGCTTTTTTCCCTTCCATTTTCACCTGGTGATCTGGCTAGTAACACATTTCCTGTATTATCAGGATGAATGAGCATGGGGGCAACATTATCAGTCTGGGAGCAGGGTTATGTTAAATGTATTAGCAGATTTCAATACACTAACAAACTGAAGACAAACTCCTGCAAATACTTTATAATCAGTTATAGGAAACAGATTTTTTCTTTTTGGGGTAAAAAGAGGAAGAGAGCTTGTTCTTTTTAAAAACAACAGACTTACTGGCCAGGCCACCAAGTGAAAATAGAAGAAAGCAAGCCTAAAAAAGGAAAATTAATGCAGCCATCACATCTATGAATTGGTAAACTGCAATATATTAAATGTTGACTTTCGTGTTTAATACTGCTTTAAAGGATCCTTTTATCAATGTTTTCACTCAAGATTCACACAACTTTTATTCAAGAGCCACACATATTTCTAGTTAAATTCTATGAGATTTGAATTAAAAGTGTGAATGAACCTTGGTTAAAAACGTTGATAACTAGACAGTGTAGAGCACGCATCTATATTTGGTAGTACAGACTACTCTACATATACCTTAAAGTGGTTGAAAAGGCTCAGCATTTTTTTTTCTTAAAGTATAAACATGGTATACTTATCTGCTCTGTATAATGGTTTTGCAAAGAGCAACTCTGAACCTCCTCTTCTGGGGACCCCCACTGGTGCTCTTGGCTCCTCCTCCTCTGTGTCTACCACCATAGCAAGCCACTTTCTATGGGGGCAGACATGCGGGCTCGCTTCTGAGCTTTGTGTGGCTCAGCCCCACCTCCCACTCCCGCCTCATAGGAGTTGATTGACAGCAGCAGGAGCCAATAGCTTCCTCTTCTGCCTCTGTGCTTGTGAGGAGACAGAGAGAAAGCAGCGATGATGTTCTTGGGCACAGCACTGGATTGAAAGAGGAGCCAAGTAAGTATTTAGGATGGGGGGGGGAAGCCGAAACTGGAATGTTTTTACCTTAATGCATAACCCATATGCCTATAGAACCACTTTAAAGTGCATCTATTGCCAAAACCTTGACAGCGATTCTAGTTCTTTCCAACTCTATTCAAAACTTAAAAGAAAAAAAACCACAAAAACATTTTGGCTATACATAGAGCAGTCACTAAAATGATTATATGACTTTTCATTCTGATTCTCATGTGTATCTGTTGTCTTCAGCTCATTTGAACTGAGTAATAATAATAGTAGGATTTAATACTGGGCTTATAATATGTATTAATGTCTAGATTCATCACATGATGTATACATTTTAATAATATTTTTAATAATTTAAATATTTTTTAATGTAATAATAAACACTTTGGAACGATACTAAAATTATAAAAAGGGAAAGTGCACCGTCCCCATGTACCAGCTGCAGGGGCGTGCTCTTTTCTCAAGCTTGCCATACACTCACACTCACTGCATTTTCAGCTAATTTACAATAAAGTGTTTTACAGTCTACACTCAGTGGCGCCTACTCTACCTTTCTCTCACTTTAATGTCACCCCACCATCTGCTCACGTGTACCTTCCATTTATCCCCCTCTCCACTTCATTTACCCTAAAAAAAGGTTGCCTGTTCAAGTTCTATGTTGCACCTTGAACTCACACGTGATACTTTCCCTGCCTGAGTGGCGCCTTCTCTACCTCTCTCTCTACATGTCAATTTGGAGGTCTGCTTCTGCTCCACTCTGTAAGGCCAGCCTTGAAGTGTGCACTGTTCTGGAGCCCTGAGGATCCTCTGCCAGACTCAGCAGTGGGTTTCTCCTCTAGCCACCTCACCCTTCTCTCTTTCCCCTCAGGTGGGACTATGGACTAACCAGAGGACATTCTTTTGTGCCAACAAAATTCCATGTATGACATTAAAGTGAACCTGTGCTTTACCCTGCATGGTATTAGAATAGTAGTTCTGACAATCATGATTCCCATTCCTCAGTGTTCAAAATTGCCATTCTTTTAATTTCACTGGTAAAATTAATGACAATATACTGTTTAAATCACAAGTGTCCAACCTACGGCCCAAGACGGCTATGAATGCGGCCCAACACAAAATCGTAAACATACTTTAAAATGTTGATTTTTTTGGATAATCTTTTTTGTAAAAATTCATTTACACTTTGCAAACACATGCAGCTGAAGAAAAACTTGTCAGTGTTTCTTTACTAGAATTTTATAAGTTTTATCTTCCCAAAGAAAAATATATCTCACTATTCACAATCACGCATTACTCATGTCATCAGTTTTTGGCAGCACTGATATTTATGAGAAACTATTTTCAAGGATGAAGCACACAAAGAGCAAAATTAGAACCAAAATATCTGATGAGCACCTTGAGAATTCATTGGGAATTGCTACTACATACATTAAACTAAATATTGATGAGTTAGTTTATCAAAAACAGTGTCAAATATTGCACTAGTTTTATGTTGCCCTCTTTTGCTTTTATAAAACAAAATACAAAAAAAATACATTTTAATACTCAGGTACATTATCTCTATATCAATGATTGTTAAATTGTGATCTGCCAGACTTTTTCTACTCATCAGCTATCCTTATTGTTAGTATATTTTATGTGTGGCCCAAGAAAATTCCTCTTCTTCCAATGTGGCCCAGGAAAGTCAAAAGGTTGGACACCCCTGGTTTAAAATCTGACCTATTCAATGTAAAATGTATCCTGTTGACTGATGCAGATTAAAACAGTTTGGACAAATGATTGTAGCTTATTTTAACCACTTTTTTTTTTCTTAAGGAAAATTGATGGGAGAAATTTTGAGGAAGATAATATAGAACTGAATGAAGATGGACAGCCTGTCCAAGCCCCTACTTATACACTCCCAAGATTTGACTGTCATTGCTGTGGTTTGCCCAAGCGTTATATAATTGCCGTTATGACTGGCTTGGGTTTCTGTATCTCCTTTGGAATTAGGTGTAATCTTGGTGTAGCTATTGTCGAAATGGTAAATAACAATACTGTTTATGTTGATGGAAAGCCAGAAATTCAGGTAAGTGACAATTTCATCATTTTAAGGGACAAAATCCTTTTTTAAAATATCCATCTTGCCTAAACTCCCTGATCGAAACTGCTCAAATCTCTCCTTCCTTGCTTACCTGAGTAATCTTCCTCACCACCAGTTGCATCTGCTCAGTGGGTCCTCATAGACTTCTATGGGGCCTTCTTCTGAGACTGGAGACCAGGTAGAGAGATGTACATTCTCTGAAAGTGTACGTCACTTAAGTTATATCTGTTGCTTTAAATATGAGCTGGGCAGGCTGTAGGAATAACATGGGTTGAGGAATTAATTTGATTATGAGGATGGAAGAATTGCAGTAACTGCCAGCCACCACGACAGGTTCCCCACATTTTTGACATTCTGGTACTCATGGATTGACTTTTCTACTTCATTCAAAATTCAAACCTTTTTATGACAAGCCATAGAACATCAGCTGTGCTGGCAGCTCTGGCCATCTCCAGTCAGGAGTCTCCCTTCTTTCCTATCTTCTTCAGTCTCCTCTCCATTTGCTCTGTTCAATGCACTGGTCTCAAGCGCACTTAGGTCTTAGCACCATTAGTAAATCGACTTGACCAATTGTGATGTTATATCTTGTGCCCATTAATCTATGATGCAAGAACTGTCATTGCAAGCTCTCACTTGCTCATGGTGTGCTACAGTAATTATGCTGTACATGACTCACTCTGTGGATTTATTTTTATATACCAAAGTGTCTTCTTTTTCTGGTATTTCTTGTTGACTTTTGAGCTGTGTCTGTATTTGTGCAAAATCTAATAAAACTTTATTCTTTAAAAAAATGTGGAGACCCAGAGCTGCTAGCACATACCTTCAGATGTCTCAGTGAGAGCCCCAATTACCACATATCCCACTATGTTCTAACACACAAAGGCCTTCTCCTTACATTTCCCCCACTTGGTCTGTTCTTTCTCTGTCCAGCATCACTGGCTAGTAAGGAGGTGACAGTAGGAGTAGGGTCAGCATCCATTGTTACCATGTTGCGTCATCCCTTTTTAAATCCTGCAAAAAAACACTGAAGAACAGAAGCAGTAACTGTAATTTAGTTAGAACTTTTCCAGCCCATAAGAAAAGCTATTTTCATGGCCCAATAGAAATGTCAGTTTTAAGGGTATTGGCGATATTTTTTTCTTCTTACACTATTTAGCGGATGGAACACTTTTTGCAGTGTGCAGATGATGAATGGCCTTAATTAGCTGGTCTTAACACTCACATGTGCCCATACACATTATAAACTGGTCTGGAGATCCAGCAGCTGAATTATCATTCCTTATGCACAGTTAAATCTTCACTCCAACTTTTTTATGGGATTAAAAAAAGGATAAAATGGGAAAAGATTAGGAACTCTTTTAGGTTTCAAATGCTGTCAATGTCCTTGTTGAGGATTTTTTTTGTCTTTGACACTTTAAATGCTGTCTACTGTATGTCCCTATAGGGAAGATTGTACTTGTTGTTCTGTACTTTCTGGCATGTTTCAGCTGGATAGCAAGTGAGCTGACAAAGACAGAATAGCATCTCAACAGACGTTCTAAACCTCCCTCATTTTCATAGAAAATACTGATGCTTGTGTCACTATTGGGGTGGAGTTTTCATGTAAGGAACTCTAAATTGTAATACCAGTTTATCTCTGCACTGAGACAATAGCACAGGATATGAAGGAATTGAATGCTAAAGTTTTCCAATACTATAAATTGTGAAAAAGTGGAATTTAAGCCTAACACTAACTCATCTTGCAAATGCCCCCCCCCCCTTCCTCCTACCTCTCCTGCCTACCCTATGTAAACTGTGTACTTACCTTTTTTAGTTTCATTCTAGTCTGGTCATGTGACCCTGCAGTTCTGGTTTCCCTGTGCCTTGGAGCACTCAGCAACAGCTGGAAATTGCGGGAGCCATGACGTCACCACGCCATTGTTAATGCTTCCTCTTCTCCCTAGCTGCTGCTCTCTGCCACAGAGCCAACTAATAAAGTATACAGATCTTTTTTTCACAGGGTGGGCAGGATGGGTAGGAGGAGGGGAGAGGGAATAGGAATAGTTAGTGTTGGGCTTCAATTACACTTCAATTGTTGTTCAGACCTATTGACATCACATTTTGCAGATTACCTTCACCTAAGTATTTTACAAATGTTACTTGTGAAACTCTGAGCCATTCACACCGGCCCTGTCCATTGTGCCGCACGTTAAAAAAAGCCCATTCATTTGTTTGGGCTGCTTAAGGCCCCACAATGGACTAAAAATTGTGTATGCACCATTTTATGAACAGATCCTTCAGATAAATTCCATACTTTTTTGACAGAAAGCTCAGTTCAGCTGGGATCCAGAAACTGTTGGCCTGATCCATGGATCATTTTTCTGGGGATACATTGTGACCCAGATTCCTGGAGGATTCATAGCAAATAAGCTTGCTGCCAATAGGTAACTATATTCAAAAACGTATTAAGACCCTTTATAGCACTTTTGTATTATAGTTGTTTTGTTAAAGCATAACATACCTATCAGTGACATAGCAAAGTTTTTTTTATGAAGCCTTGTGCCCCTTACCTTTTCAGATAAGTAATTAAAATATATAATTAAGACTGTCTTACATTTTTTCTTCTATTGGTGTGGTGTGCCAATGAAATGCGCTGAATACCTTTTTTTTTGATTCTTATAGGGTATTTGGTGCTGCTATTTTTTTAACCTCAGTCCTAAATATGCTAATTCCATCAGCAGCAAACGTACATTTTGGGTGCGTTATATCAGTTCGTATTCTCCAAGGTCTAGTTGAGGTAGGTATGCTAACATATTGAGATTCTAACCCTTATCTCTCTTTTTTATGTCTACAAAATCTCTGTTTAATGTGTATTATGTCGGGTACTGTATATGTTTTCTACTATGAAAATATGATGTCCTTACCAGCATTTTAGAATTACTAACTCCTCTTATTTATTCCATTTTGGTCTTTTAAATATACTGTTACAAGAGTTTTGATATATCAGTTCAACAAGTACATTATATAAATATTGGCATCCAATAACTTCCTGTGTTCTCTGCCTATGCTGCGCGATTGTCCGTTACATTATTCCCGGCTATCTCTGTGGACTACAAAATACTTTCTCACTATGTTATGGATGTGACAAGAGGAAGAGGTGTTCTGCAACCCTAGAACACTTCCTATCCTAGGATGACAACTCTGCTCCTCCATAGATAAAATACCATGAGCAAGTTTTTTAATCCTAGGACAGAAGGTGTGTTGCTGGCAAGATCAGCAGGTAAAAAGCCTGAGAAATAAGGAAACAAATGCAGCCCCAACATCTGCAGTCTGGTAAGCTGCCATATGTTACTTTTTTCACTTTAGATCAGGGATAGGCAACCTAAGGCACATATGCCAGGGTGGGCATGCAATGAGCCAACTGGAAGACCTGAGGATCCTTGGGTCCCTGCTTGTGGCAAATACAGACCCATTGCTGTAGGTTGTAATTGGCAGCTCACTAGGCTGTCAATTGCAAACCTTGGCCTGCTGTGCTGCACCCGTGGCCCACCTACCTCCACAATATTTCAGAGAGGATAGTCTGATGTCACTGGCGATCAGGTGTCTGCCATATTTCCAATACCAGCCTGCGGCTACTTATGTCATTATGTGAAGAAGCCCACCCACCTACCCTATTCCTCCTCATAGTGAAGTGAGGTCTATGGTACACTATTGTTCACTGGCATGCCAGTTGTCTAAAACTTGTACACTTGGAAATGTTGCTGATTCCCTTTAAACCTATATGCAGTCATCTCACAGAGAGAAGTGTAATTCTTGCCATAATTAAAGTGCTTCTAAAGTTAGAAGTTAAAAAACACTAAGGTAAAAAAAACCCACCTTACTCCTTCTCCGATCCAGCGCTGTCCCAGCTGTAGCAGTGCTGCTTTTTCTTCCTGCTTCCACAGGACACACTGAGAGCGCTTCTGCTGCTGTCATTCAAATCCTGTGAAGGAAGAGCGGAGACACACAGAACAGCGCTGTGTGTGTCTATGGATGGGTGTCCCCACAGCACACTTTGAGGGGGCACTCAGAGGAGAGGAGGAGTGGACAGCGCTGGTAGGGAACTGAAGATGAAAAGGTAAACCACCACCCTGCAATATCTTTGCAAACAGCAGGTAAATATTACATCTTTTCATTTTAATTAAAAAAATGAAAGGTTCGTATCACTTTAAACTTTGAGGAGTTATTATATCAGGATCTTTTTCCTGCAGAAAAATTCATATGGTTTCACTGTATGAGCACTGGAGCTCAGCATAGAAAACAAATAGATCTGAAGTGCTACAATTCTGATGGACAGAACTCTCACATTGTGTCACCATTGACGTGGGCAGTCCTTAGACCTGCTGTGCTGCACTCAAGCTGCCCTATCAATATCTGGACATTGAGAAGATTTAAAAGAATATCCAGACATGCTGCAACTTCTTCTAAAACTCAGTTGGCTCCTCATTGGCCCCTGCAAGACTTGGATACTCAGCTATAGTAATAAATGTACAGTTTCCACCAATTTAGATATATACACGCATGACTAAATGTGTTAAAGTTAGTTGAAATGGATTGATGGATTTATTTTAATTACTGAGCAGTAAATTATGCTCTTGTATACTTCAATCTTCCCTGCTACTTACATTACAAGTATAATGATAGGTGGGGTTTGGGCTCAGGCTACTGTAGACAATAAATATATATATATATACACACACACACATATACACCCAATACATCCACATACTCATTTGCTTCAAAATGTGGCATTTGGCACACTTTTTTAAGGCACTCTGAATGGCAATCAGAGCACCTCTCACTTAATAAAATGGTTGCCTTACAGTCCTGTTCACACTGTTGTCTTTGCTTAAAAAAGATATCCCATGATACTTTCTTGGTGCTTCAAAGCATCTTCAAAACCTACATAGAAGTCTTTCAAACTGCTTGCTAACAGCACCTGCAGCATTTGAGGAGCATTTATTCAGAGTTAGCTTCACTTGTTTTTGGAGATATAGGAGGTATGAGATATCTCAGGATGCACTGGAAAACCAAAAATGTAACTGTAAAGACATCATCAGAAGTCACTTCAGGTTCATGTATATATTCAGAGAGTGTCTGGTGCAGAGATCACATCTGATGTGCAGCGTGGTGTAGCAGGAAGATGAGCAGAGCCTGGACCAGAGCAAAGCAACTAGCAGATGGCACACGTGGTGCACAATGTGGGAATGCTATAGTGGAAGGTGAGAGAGAGGATTAAAGAAAGAGGACTGAGGATCAGCAGGGCTGGGACTCCAAAGTTGGAGAAACTAGCAGGTGTCCCAGGTGGTGCAGAGGAGGATCAGCAATTGAGAGGATCAGCAGAGCTGAAGTTTGCTAGTGAGTGGGGGATCAGCAGAGCTGGGGGTACTACTGAGTGGGGCATCAGTTGAACTGCGGTGACTACTGAGTGGGGAATCTGTTGAACAAAGGATGGAAGGAAAAGAATCATGCCACCAGCAAGTGAGAAGGGGGGAGCATGAGTCCAAGCGATTCCAGTGTCAGCCAATATAAGTGAAGGGAAGGACCCTGCTCAACCAAACCCAGGAATCCAATGCTGAGGAATGGCCTCAGCCATCATACTGGCCATGTCCTAAGATGCAATTTGCCCCACCCACTGGGGCTTGGTCACACAATCAAAGCAAGTGTAAAGAGCCCTAAATGTGTTTAAATGCCTCTTGATATTCCTCTTGATATCAGGGGCGGACTGACAACTCATGGGGCCCCCGGGCAATAGGGGATCATGGGGCCCCTGTGCCCTTGCCCAAACTCAAAAAAGCCTATGAAAAAGGTACCAGGGGCATCTCATGGGCCTCCTACTGATCCCGGGCCCTCGAATTTCCAAATGGTCAGTCTGCCCCTGCTTGATATCAACCTCCTTTTATTCTCTGTAACAGAAGAAGAGCCAATATTAGGAACCTGCCAAGTTTTGCTGCATTGCAAGCAGTGAACATGCTGACAGTAGGAAAGAACAGAATGATGACTTATTGTGCTGCTGCTCCTGCACTTTGTAAACAGCAGCCTAGGGTTGTGTTCTTGACCAGGTGGTGTTGCTACAATGTAAGTTGAAGACCTGACTATAAAGTCTTGCTGGAATGCCTAAAAGACTGTTAGACAAAACCACTTAGACATATATTTGAGTTGACCTTTTCTTGTTTGCCTGAAGTTTGTTAAATATATGACCTGGGAGATTAACATAAATTTATGTTTAAAATGTTTTCAGGGAGTGACGTACCCAGCATGCCATGGTTTGTGGAGTAAGTGGGCGCCCCCACTGGAGAGAAGCAGACTAGCAACTACTTCTTTCTGTGGTAGTACAAATTCTTCCTATAAATCACATCTTATTGAATGATTGTGTTTGTTAAAACTGGCTTTTGGCTGCACTTTGCACTGTGTAGCAAACAATAACCAAGTTCTAGATTCTCTTTTAGTGGATGTTCTTGATTTTTTAGATGTGCATTCTGGGAATGGGCTAGGGAAATATTTTCCCCTATTAATACTCAGTTTCAGAGATTTTCCAGCAAGGGTTTTTGTGACCGACCCCCCCTATACTGAGTGCTGGAATTGGGTAGTTTATTGCAATCATTTGTTGTAAATACTAATTCTCCCCTGTTTACATTGCAGGATCCTATGCTGGTGCAGTTATCGCGATGCCACTAGCAGGGATACTTGTACAGTATATTGGCTGGTCATCTGTTTTTTATATTTATGGTACGTTTTTCTTGGGCAGTTTAAAAACAGTAGCTCATTATATTGCTGCTAGGTGCCATTTTAGTTTGCTATAAAGAAAATCTGGACTTTAGCCATGCAGGGCAAATCCACAGGTTTATTTTAATCCCTCCTCTTCCTGCACAAAGTTGAGTAGCACTACTGGCCTGAGAATACCTGAGAACAAGTAATTGGCTGAATTGCCAGCCAGGGATTAACTGGGACTAAATCATTAGTAAAACCTCATCTGGAATATGCAGTTCAGTTTTGGGCACCAATTCACAAAAAGAACATTGGGGAACTGGAGAAAGTACAGAGAAGGGCAAACAAACTGATAAGAGGTATGGAGGAGCTCAGCTATGAGGAAAGATTAGAGGAACTGAATTTATTCTCTCTTGAGAAGAGGAGATTAAGGGGAGATATGATCAACATGTATAAATACATCAGTGGTTCATATAGTGAACTCGGTGTAGAGCTATTCACACTGAGGTCATCACAGAGGACAAGGAGGCACTCTTTACATCTGGAGAAAAAGAGATTTAATCTCCAAACACGGAAAGGTTTCTTAACAGTAAAGCTGTGAAAATGTGGAATAGACTCCCTCAAGAGTTGGTTCTGGCCAGCTCAGTGGATTGCTTTAAAAAGTCCTGGATTCTTTCTTGGATACACAGAATATACAGTCAGGTCCATAAATATTGGGACATCGACACAATTCTAACATTTTTGGCTCTATACACCACCACAATGGATTTGAAATGAAACGAACAAAATGTGCTTTAACTGCAGACTGTCAGCTTTAATTTGAGGGTATTTACATCCAAAGCAGGTGAACGGTGTAGGATTTACAACAGTTTGCATATGTGCCTCCCACTTGTTAAGGGACCAAAAGTAATGGGACAGAATAATAATCATAAATCAAACTTTCACTTTTTAATACTTGGTTGCAAATTCTTTGCAGTCAATTACAGCATAAAGTCTGGAACGCATAGACATCACCAGACGCTGGGTTTCATCCCTGGTGATGCTCTGTCAGGCCTCTACTGCAACTGTCTTCAGTTCCTGCTTGTTCTTGGGGCATTTTCCCTTCAGTTTTGTCTTCAGCAAGTGAAATGCATGCTCAATCGGATTCAGGTCAGGTGATTGACTCGGCCATTGCATAACATTCCACTGCTTTCCCTTAAAAAACTCTTTGGTTGCTTTTGCAGTATGCTTTGGGTCATTGTCCATCTGCACTGTGAAGCGGCATCCAATGAGTTGTGAAGCATTTGGCTGAATATGAGCAGATAATATTGCCCGAAACACTTCAGAATTCATCCTGCTGCTTTTGTCAGCAGTCACATCATCAATAAATACAAGAGAACCAGTTCCATTGGCAGCCATACATGCCCACGCCATGACACTACTACCACCACCATGCTTCACTGATGAGGTGGTATGCTTAGGATCATGAGCAGTTCCTTTCCTTCTCCATACTCTTCTCTTCCCATCACTCTGGTACAAGTTGATCTTGGTCTCATCTGTCCATAGGATGTTGTTCCAGAACTGTGAAGGCATTTTTAGATGTCGTTTGGCAAACTCTAATCTGGCCTTCCTGTTTTTGAGGCTCACCAATGGTTTACATCTTGTGGTGAACCCTCTGTATTCACTCTGGTGAAGTCTTCTCTTGATTGTTGACTTTGAACACATACACCTACCTCCTGGAGAGTGTTCTTGATCTGGCCAACTGTTGTGAAGGGTGTTTTCTTCACCAGGGAAAGAATTCTTCGGTCATCCACCACAGTTGTTTTCCGTGGTCTTCCAGATCTTTTGGTGTTGCTGAGCTCACTGGTGCTTTCCTTCTTTTTAAGAATGTTCCAAACAGTTGTTTTGGCCACGCCTAATGTTTTTGCTATCTCTCTGATGGGTTTTTGTTTTGTTTTGTTTGTTTTGTAATTGGGATAATGAGGGAATAACACACACCTGGCCATGGAACAGCTGAGAAGCCAATTGTCCCATTACTTTTGGTCCCTTAACAAATGGGAGGCACATATGCAAACTGTTGTAATTCCTACACCGTTTACCTGCTTTGGATGTAAATACCCTCAAATTAAAGCTTACAGTCTGCAGTTAAAGCACATCTTGTTCGTTTCATTTCAAATCCATTGTGGTGGTGTATAGAGCCAAAAATGTTAGAATTGTGTCGATGTCCCAGTATTTATGGACCTGACTGTAACTGGATACTAACATTTATAGGTAAAGTTGATCCAGGGGAAATATCCGATTGTCTCTCAGGGAATCAGGAAGGAATTTTTTCCCCTGCAGGAGCAAATTGGATCATGCTTGGCTGGGCTTTTTTGTTTTACCTTCCTCTAGATCAACTGTGGGTGTAGGATTATAACTTTTTTTTTATATGGTTGAACTGGATGGACTTTTGTCTTTTTTCAGCCAGACTAACTATGAGTCATCTAACTTGAAATTTACTAAACGGGTGCAAAGTTAGAAGCTATACTGCAAAACAGGTTCAAGATGACATAGCTTGAATTCACTGCAGAATAACCCAAAGCAGACATTAAAAGCTTATTTATAATGCATGAGTAATATCAAAAATGAACAATTAAACATCAATGTAAAATTAATAAACGATAGTTCGTATTGGTGACTATTCGTGCCCGTCTAATACTGATAGTTGTGGTCTGTGCTTGTGCTCTCAAAAACAGAAGAAATGCGCACTCACCGGACGCGCAGTAATTATGCGCGTTGTATATTAAATCCTGGTGTCATCAGAGGGGATCATCTGGGCCAGGTTAGGTGTAGGAATGGCTCCCTCTCAGGGTAGGGTAGATCATGGGGCTTTTTAAGGATGATTCAAGGGTGTCCAGAGTTCCCCTTAAGGGATGGATGGGTGCAGCTCACAAAGGTTTAACAGGAGGTTCCCTCTCTGGAGGCTTGGGGCTGGCACTGGGTGTCTAGGAAATTAATACTCCCCAAAGGAGTCAGGATAAAAGATGCCCATAGTGTAATATGTTTATATTATCAATTTATTCATTAAATAGATGCATCCGAGTAAAAGTAGACAATATGAACAATATGACAGAAACTGGACTAACCGTCCACGAGTAAAGATGTCTGCTGGAGCTCCACGATTCTCCGACGGCGTGATGTCATGGCGTAATTGGCTCTTCCTTACGCGTTTCATGCACCAGCACGTCTTCTCTTTATTTAATAAAACCTTTTATTAAAACAGGGCAACATGTGCATATCTTTCTAGTTCCACTTAAAAAAACATAACATTATCTATATCCCTGGTGCCTAACCTGTGACCTGGGGGCCACATGTGGCCCTTTATGTGTGGCCCTCAGGGCCTCTGCAGACACTAATCTGTGTTTCTCTATTGCCCTGCTATAGCAGTGATTTCTAGTAGTCCCATGTAATATGTCTCCAGTCAATTCCTCCTGAAGCATTTCCCCAGTCTCCAACAAAACCCATAGCATGCTTACAACTTCTGAAAGTCTCCTGCAGCATGTCTGCAGTTTCTGACCATCTCCCATAAAATATCCACAGTCCCTGACCATCTTTTGTATCATATCTGCAGTCTCTGACAGTTTGTTGTACCATGCCTACAGTTTATGGCGATCTCCTGTAAAATGTCCACATTCTCTGGCCATCTCTTGTATCATATCTGCAGTCTCTGACAATCTCTTGTATCATGTCTGAAGTTTCTGACCATCTCCTGTAAAATGTCCACATTCTCTGGCCATCTCTTGTATCATATCTGCGGTCTCTGAACATCTCTTTTATCATGTCTGCAATCTCTTGTATTATGTCCATGTTTTTGTATTATATCCTGTTGTGTTTCTGCTGTTTTGGAGACTGAATATTCACTGAATTATATGTTTGGCCTTTTGGTGATGTTGAGAGGCACACTCAAAGCCCCCCCATGTCAACAAACGTTGACCACCACTGATCTATATTACCTATTCCATTGGATGTGTCTCTTTTTTACCGAAGAATGACTATTAATATTGGAAAACCAGTGTACATTTTTACTATTACATATTTTTGTGTGGCTTTATCATTTAGGGATGTTTGGCATTATCTGGTACGTGTTCTGGCTTCTGCATGCTACAGAGAGCCCAGCTGAACATCATTTCATCAGCCCTGAGGAAAGATCATACATTGAATCAAGTATAGGAGAAGGCAGCAGTTTAATTACAACCAGCGTAAGTTTTGACCTGACTATGTGTGAATATTTATATGTGATTCTGGTCATTTCTTGTGGAATGATTGGTAAAAATATCTGTGAAGGTTTTCAGATGTCCACGTCATGGGATACTGGGTATTTAGTAGCAGTAAGTCAAAAGTAAGCCAGTATAATCTTGCTGTGTATTAATGAAAATATTTTTGCAGTCATCTGATCATCATCAAAAAGAAGGACATCTAGTTCACAATAAAACAACCATCCCTGTACTGGGAGAGGGGACTTAGATACTACTTATACCCCATGTGCACTACTGTACTAACGTTTCCCCCTGTGGATTCAAAATTCACACCTTCAGTCATGACATCATAGTGACTGGTTTATAGTGTCTGGATTATGTTGAATGGATGACCAATAAAAAATGCTTGTCCTTTTTTATTTTTCTCTCTGTAGAAATTCAAAACCCCTTGGAAGAAGTTCTTTACTTCAATGCCAGTCTATGCAATCATTGTAGCTAATTTTTGCCGAAGTTGGACATTTTACTTATTGCTCATCAGCCAGCCTGCTTACTTTGAAGAAGTCTTTGGGTTCCCAATAAGCAAGGTACATCATTTGAAAACTGTAACTAGAGGTTTCTCCAGTACCAAAATGTATTATCTATGTTTCATATACCTCATGTTATTTGAATGAAATGTGTCACCTGATAACTCAATAATTATCCATTCAGGTTGGTCTACTGTCGGCAGTACCACACATGGTGATGACAATAATTGTACCCATTGGAGGACAGCTGGCTGATTTTCTAAGAAGCAGGCAGATTTTGAGCACCACGACTGTAAGGAAAATCATGAACTGTGGAGGTAATAAAATGGTTGTGTTTCTGAACGTTACTCTTACTACCGTTGTTTTACCTATTTAGGTTTTTTTGGTGAATAGAACACGTCTGTAGTGTGATACATAATGAATGTTCCATATGATGGGATTGTGACAATAGTAACCATTTCATCAAAATTATATGCTTAGGTTTTGGAATGGAGGCCACGCTACTGCTGGTAGTTGGATATTCTCATACTAAGGTCATTGCGATTTCTTTCCTTGTTCTTGCTGTTGGATTCAGTGGCTTTGCTATATCAGGTAAGACTATAGTAAAAAAAACAAAAAGACATTATTTAACATATACTGTATAATCTGTTTGCTGTGTTATTTTTATTTACCATACAGGGTTAGTTCACTCACAGGTTACACTTTAGTTACAATGAAGACTGGAGGGCTTTCTTTATTGATGTCCCTGTTGGGCGGATTAATTCCTCCCTATTTGTCCATTTGACGGAATATCCTGAACTTTGAACAGGAATAGAACAGGAATCTTCCAATAGCAATATATTTTTCAGTGATAACTCTCTAAGATAGAATTTCCTTCACTCTGGAGAGTTTTCCTCTCACTTCCTATCTACATGACAGGAAGTGAAGGAAACTCTCCCAAATGGGAAGAGACGGCAAAGAAAACCTGATTGGTTGATGGGTTTTAACCCTTTTCTACTTCATATGAGACAAACAAAAAAACTCTTCCTACCAGCTGTCTGTCAAAAGATGCAGATGATTTGTGCTAGGAGAGAAAATTTGGTGTGGCAATTTCAGTTAGGAAAGATGATTGGGATGGAGGGGGGAATTTGTGCAAGGTGGGGAGATTTGGAGGGGGGGGGGGGAGGTGTAGTGCTAGGATGGGGGTGGGGGTGACTTCTGCAGCATTTCTGCAAGACGAAAGGACAGGGAGTGGGATTTGTGCTGGAAGAGGGGATTAAGGTATTTTTGCTGGGGGGGGGGGGGGCGGTATTGGTGGGGTCAAGAGAATTGTATTAGAAGAGAGGGCTTGGAGGGTGGTTTATGCCAGGAGGGGAGATGGTGTGGGGGATTTGTACTGCTATGAGGGATTGGGTGGTGGAGGATTTGTGCTACAATGGGAAATTTGGGGGATATTTTATACTAGGAAGAGGGATTGGGGGAATATTGTGCTAGGAAAGGTGATTTTGGGGGGAATCTGTGCTATGAGGGGGGATTGGGGAGATTTGTGCTAGGGGTTGAATGGGGGGGGGGGGGGAATTTGTGCTAGGAGAGGGGAATGGGGGAGGGGATAATTAGGGCTAGGAGTGGAAATTTGGGAGGAGAATCTGTGCTAAGTGAGGAATTTGGGGGGGTAGGGGATATGTGCTAGGAAGGGGGATTTGAGGGGATGGAAATTTATGCTATGAGGGGGCATTTGGGGGAAGGATCTCTGCTAGAAGGGGGAATTGAATGAGGATTTGTGCTGGGAGAAGGGATTAGGGAGGGGGAGAGGATTTATGCTATGAGTAGAAATTTGTGTGTGTGTTTGCCTTGGGTGCTGTTCTGGCACTGTTTGGATATATTTCTTTTTTTTTTTTTTGGTTTTAATTATTACAATAAAGCATTCACATATCAAACCAAATCAGTGACATTGGTATAAGTTAATGTGTATCCCCTGGAAGTGATGACTTGAGGAGGAAGAAGTACAGTGAGTAGACATCCTTGATGGCAACTTATCCCAGGTGAAATGGATAGCAACCCAATAAAGTCCAATCAGTCCTTCCCAAAGAATGTTTGGCCAAGAGATATCTGCTGAGATCAGGGAGTGTGCACTGGCATGACATTTGGTACACTTTAAGACAAAGGTCTTCAGTTGTTAAGTTAAGCAATATGGTGTAAAGGGAATCCAAAGTCCACTGAGAGTCCTCAGCACTTTTGCCACGTGCAAGTATGGATAGTATCGCGCCCCCCACCTCCTGGGATATATAATCATCCCAGCACTCTGCACTGCTACTAACCCAGTCTTCCTTTCTGCTTCTGAGCTCAGAGTCTTCAGCCATCTTGATTGACTGGTCCAAGATGATTTTACTCCCACACCTGTGCATGGGTGTTAATTCATCCTAGTAACTAAGGCATGCCAAGAATGTACATTGATCTGCATATGCATAGCTCAGAGCACATTCAGATGGAACATTGCTGGCAGGCAGAACAGGAACCTTTATTGCAGAGAATCAAACCAAAGAATTGATTTACTAAATGCATTTATACTGTTCACTTTGCAGGGGAAGTCGCAGTTTGCACAGGAATTGTCCTCAGAGCTTAGTGAATGAGATAAATCTCTGCCGATTTCCCTCATCCAATCAGGTGCAACCAGAAATGCCTTTTTTTTCATTTCCTTGCACGTGATTGGGAATTCTTTGCAATTTGAATTTTCACCACATTCAGTAGGCTCTGGGGAAAATTTCTCAGTCAAAGTGCAACTTCCCTTGCAAAGTGTCTATTTGCCTTTATTAAATCAACCCCCGAGTCTATTCTGCAATAAAAGCCTACCTGTCAGAAATGTTTCCTTTATACAGTGAAGGAAATAGGTATTTGATCTCCTGCTGATTTTGAATGTTTGCCCACTCACAAAAAATGATCAGTCTAAAAATTGAATGGTAGGTGTATTGTGACACTGAGAGACAGAATAGCAACAAAAAATTCAAAGAAATGCGTGTCTAACAAATTATACACTGATTTGCATGTTCATGAGGGAAATAAGTATTTGATCCCCTATCATTCAGCAGGATTTCTGGCTACCAGGCGTCTTTCATACAGGTAACAAGCTGAGATTAGAAGCAGTCTCTTAAAGGGAGTGCTGTTAATCTAATTTTGTTATCTTTATAAAAGACACCTGTCCACAGGAGCAATCAAACAATCAGATTCCAAACTCTCCACCATGGCAAAGACCAAAGAGCTGTCCAAGGATGTCAGGGACAAGACTGTAGGCCTAGACAAGGCTGGACTGGGCTACCAAACTATCGCCAAGCAGCTTGGTGAGAAGGTGACAACAGTTGGTGCAATCATTCACAAATGGAAGAAACACAAAACAACTGTCAGTATCCCTAGGTCTGGTGCACCATGCAAGATCTCACCTCATGGAGTGTCAATGATCATGAGAACAGTGAGGAGTCATCCCAGAACTACACATCAGGATCTTGTCAATGATCTCCAGGCAACTGGGACCACAGTCAACAAGAAAACAATTGGTAACACACTACACCAACAAGGATTGAAATCCTGCAGTGCCCGCAAGGTCCCTCTGCTCAAGAAAGCACATGTGCAGGCCTGTCTGAAGTTTGCCACTGAACATCTGAATGATGAAGAGGAGGACTGGTTGAAAGTGTTCTGGTCAGATGAGACCAAATTGAGCTCTTTGGCATCAACTCAACTTGCCGTGTTTGGAGGAGGAATGCTGCCTATGACCCCAAGAACACCATCCCAACTGTCAAACATGGTGGTGGAAATATTCTGCTTTGGGGGTGTTTTTCTGCTAAGGGGACAGGACAACTGCACAGCATCAAAGGGACAATGGACGGGGCAATGTACCATCAAATCTTGGGTGAGAACCTTCTTCCCTCAGCCAGGGCATTGAAAATGGGTCGTGGATGGGTGTTCCAGCATGACAATGACCCAAAACATACAGCCAAGGCAACAAAGGAGTGGCTCAAGAAGAAGCACATTAAGGTCCTGGAGTGGAATAGCCAGTCTCCAGACCTTAAGCCGATTGAAAATCTGTGGAGGGAGCTGAAAGTTCAAGTTGCCAAACGACAGCCACCAAACCTTAATGACTTGGAGAGGATCTGCCAAGAGGAGTGGGCCAAAATCCCTCCTGAGATGTGTGCAAACCTGGTGGCCAACTACAGGAAAAGTCTGACCTCTGTGATTGCCAACAAGGGATTTGCCACCAAGTACTAAGTCATGTTTTGTGAAGGGGATCAAATACTTCTTTCCCTCAGGAACATGCAAATCAGTGCATAATTTGTTAGACATGCAGTTCTTTTGAAATTTTGTTGCTACTCTGTCTCTCAGTGTTACAATACACCTACCATTAAATTTTTTAGACTCATGATTTCTTTTGTGAGTGGGTAAATGTTCAAAATCAGCAGGGGATCAAATACTTATTTCCTTCATGGTAGACTTTAATCCAATTTTAATAGCTAGTAGTGTAGCTATTGATCAATCATACGTCAAATCAATTTGTTCCCTCTGAAGTAAGTTACAAAAAAGTAGAATACACAAGCAGGTAATAGCAATTATTTGAACATAATATATCAATATTGTACCGCGCTCCAATCTATACAACTATAAGTGCTCTAATAAATTATAAATGACTGAAGTGTATCACCAATAATTCAATAATATTCTAAATCCATAATACTTGAATCCAAAATTGATATAAATCCATAATACTTGAATCCATAATTAATATAAATATATAAATAAATTAAATTAATATTTTTAAATAAGTGCATAAAAAACTAAGTGCATTAAAAAACTAAAAAAGTGAAAATATATAAATGAAAAAGTAAAAATAAAAAATGAAATAAAACTGAAAAAATGGAATGACAGTTCAGTTCATACGAATTGAGAAGGTAATGTAGTTCAATCTAGTCTGCGTAGTAAGTCAGTGTTCATGGCATGAACCTCTCTCTCCTTCCTCCTCTCCTTTCTCCTCAATACAGCTTTTCTCAATAAGAACTTTCTCCTCTAGCTGCTTGACTTATTCCTCCATAGCCGATACATACAGAGAAGGGAAAAAGAAAAAAGAAACATAGTGTCTTATCCTGGGTAACAAATGTTTATTGAGCTTCTGATCTCCCACTCACATGGTATCAGTAAAAGTAACGCTTTGTATACAATGTATCCAAAATCTTCCTGCAAACAGCCCTGCAGTGTGTGTGTGTGTTCACTCGATATACTCGCCGTTCCTCTGTGGATGCGTGATGACGTCACCGCCCCTCCCCTACGCGTTACGCTACAGGGACTCGTAGCTTCCTCTGGGGGATGTAGTTTTACATGTCATCCTGCACTGAGGTTATATATATCCTACCGACGCCATTTTTTCTGTGATTTATACGTTCTTAATACCCCCTCCATATTTTAGGAGTCCAAATTATGTCTTAATGTTAACACTATTATATATATACGTAGTGCGCCTCATCATCCTCCGGCTGCATATTGAATGCTTCCACACACACCCTTTACAATTAGGATTGATGTCTCATACTTTTTGTACTATTACATCGCCATAAAGATAATCATAATCATTTCTATATTATCCACAATTTACATACTGTATCTCCATATTAAACATTTAAATTACTTTATATACATTTTTAATAAAAGATAAAAATAAAAATATAAGTTTAGCATTAACTAATTTATTTAAAATTGCTAAAAAATAATGAAAATAAAGATAAAAATAAAAACAAATAAAAAAACAAATAAAAAAAAATAACTAAATAAAAATAAAAAAATAAATAAAATAAATAAAAAATAAAAAATAAAGAAATAATAAATAAAAAAAAATAAAAATAAGGATAAAAAATAAAATAAAATTAAAATTAAAATAAAAATCCAAATAAAAATAAAAATAAAAATAAAAAAAAAAAATAAATAAATAAAAAAAATAAAATATGAAAATAAAAATAGAAATAAAAATAAAGTAAAAATAAAAATAAAAAATATACCCCTAATAATATTCTACTCTATATTTTTTTTTTTTTTATTTTTATTTTTATTTTTTATTTGGATTTTTATTTTAATTTTATTTTATTTTTTTTATCCTTATTTTTATTTTTTTTTATTTATTATTTCTTTATTTTTTATTTTTTATATTTTTTATTTTTTTTTTTTTATTTTTATTTAGTATTTTTATTTGTATTTTTATTTGTATTTTTATTTCTTTTATTTTTATATATATTTTTTTTTTTATTTATTATCTTCTTTTATTTTTATTTTTATCTTTATTTTCATTATTTTTTAGCAATTTTAAATAAATTAGTTAATGCTAAACTTATATTTTTATTTTTATCTTTTATTAAAAATGTATATAAAGTAATTTAAATGTTTAATATGGAGATACAGTATGTAAATTGTGGATAATATAGAAATGATTATGATTATCTTTATGGCGATGTAATAGTACAAAAAGTATGAGACTACAATCCTAATTGTGAAGGGGTGTGTGTGGCAATATGCAGCCGGAGGATGATGAGGCGCACTACGTATATATATAATAGTGTTAACATTAAGACATAATTTGGACTCCTAAAAAAATATGGAGGTGGTATTAAGAACGTATAAATCACAGCAAAAATGGCGTCGGTAGGATATATATAACCTCAGTGCAGGATGACATGTAAAACTACATCCCCCAGAGGAAGCTACGAGTCCCTGTAGCGTAACGCGTAGGGGAGGGGCGGTGACGTCATCACGCATCCACAGAGGAACGGCGAGTATATTGAGTGAACACACACACACCTGCAGGGCTGTTTGCAGGAAGATTTTGGATACATTGTATACAAAGCGTTACTTTTACTGATTACCATGTGAGTGGGAGATCAGAAGCTCAATAAACATTTGTTACCCAGGATAAGACACTATGTTTCTTTTTCCTTTTTCCCTTCTCTGTATGTATCGGCTATGGAGGAATAAGTCAAGCAGCTAGAGGAGAAAGTTCTTATTGAGAAAAGCTGTATTGAGGAGAAAGGAAAGGAGGAGGAAGGAGAGAGAGGTTCATGCCATGAACACTGACTTACTACGCAGACTAGATTGAACTACATTACCTTCTCAATTCGTATGAACTGAACTGTCATTCCATTTTTTTCAGTTTTATTTCATTTTTTATTTTTACTTTTTCATTTATATATTTTCACTTTTTTAGTTTTTTTAATGCACTTAGTTTTTTATGCACTTATTTAAAAATATTAATTTAATTTATTTATATATTTATATTAATTATGGATTCAAGTATTATGGATTTATATCAATTTTGGATTCAAGTATTATGGATTTAGAATATTATTGAATTATTAGTGATACACTTCAGTCATTTATAATTTATCAGAGCACTTATAGTTGTATAGATTGGAGCGCGGTACAATATTGATATATAAAGTTAACATCTATACACCTGGAGAGGGTGTAATAAGTACCTGGCGATCTAATATCTAATTAAGCACGTAATTAATTTATTAGGGTTCACTTTATTCATCATTTATAATTATTTTCATACACGGAATTAATTGCTCTATAAGTAAGAAAACTTCTAGTGGCTCACAAGTATTTAACCAATTTGCATTTTTAAATTATTTGAACATAACCACAACATAGTACACAAAAAATAATTGCTACTACATGCTACTTGTGTTGCAGGAGAGATATCATAGGGGGTCATTAATTCCACCTGTAATCAGTTGCTAGCAATTATTAACTAGCAACCTTTAATAGGAGTGATTTGTTGTGTAAAATCTACTGTGCAACTATAGCCTATACAGTACAGCTTACTTTCTGCTACATACCAAATAGTTCTATCAACAGCAGGGGTTTTCTAGAGCAGACATTCTTAACCAGGGTGCCCAGAGGTCTCCTCAGGGGTTCCTTGGCAAAATGTCTAAAAATTGCCCAAAACTTGTATACAAGCCAGCGGGTGGAACAAGCCTGCCTTTTAGTTACACAAAGCCACAGGTTTTCATTGTACACCATTACGACCTTCTAGACACCAGCATCCTGACAACCAATTACATTATCAGTTGATAAGGAGGATGTCAGCTGCCTGCACAGCATCCTAGATTGACCCTCCCCAGCCCCTCTCCATCAGTGCTGGGGTCACATTAGCTCAGTGATGGAGAAAAACTGAGAGAGAAAAGAAACACTGGAATACTACTCAGTACCAGTGTGCAAAAGTGTATTTGCTTTGGAAGAATAAATCACCTCTAATGTTGGTTGTCCTACATGTGTGGATGTTGCTGCGTTATATAAAACTATTAGAATAGTTTTTCACATTTTAGAATGCCTCAAGACTGTCCATAATTTTAAAGGGTGCCTTGGGACTGTCCATAATTTTAAAGGGTGCCTTGACTGAAAAAAGGTTGAGGAACACTGTTCTAGAGTCCTAAAAGACCCAAGTGACCCAGGACATGTAAGCTAAAAAATGTTGTGGGAATAAAAAAAATTATTATAAAGATACCGAGGGTGTTACTTGTTCCCAGTATTTCTCACTTCTCTCTTCTCCTGACTCCTGACATTAAGCATCTTTCGTGCATCCTTGCATCTCAACTGCTTTTTTATGTATGCCACATATCCAGTTTGGACGTAAGCCTCATGAAATAGGGGTAATATTTCCTAACGTTATCACTTCTTCTTCTGTTTTTATCATTCTTTGCCGCAACTGCTGTTGACAGATACTTTAATATGGTCAGTGCTTAATTAAACATCTTCCATTGCTTCCTCTTGTTTTAATTTCTTCAAACAATGGCGCTAATGCTTGAGTGTTCCTTTAATTAATGTTGAGACTGTGGCCTGATAACATCTGGGTAATCTGTTATGTATGCCAGATGGAGGATTTGTTAATTTAGAATGCAAATGATCATTTTGTTTTCTCTAGTTTGTTTTATTAACACACTGCAATCTTCCAACACTGATTAGCAAATCACTCAGCAAGGATGCTGGAGGCTGCTGTTATGCGTGAATAATCATACTGAATCTAATTAGAAAAAGAAAATGACACCATATACATGTTTATGAATTAAGAGAGTTCTCCACTAATGTAGAGAACTCTTATAATGTATAAACATTATTATGTATTGAGACTCAAATCCAACTGTCTGGCAAGTTTGACATTAAAAGGCATGGGGAACAAAATAATCACATTATTAAATTCATGACTTTAGCTAAATTAGAAAAGAAGGTTTTCACATGTCTCATTCCACCACACATCCCCAAAACAAGAGGAACATTTGACATTGCAGGAGAGTGGGGGGGAGCCATGCAGATAATTCCTTTATGCCCCAATAGCCAGAATCACCCACAGATCCACTGGTGTAGTTAGTGTAAATATAGCAGTTTTAGAAACCAGTTTTACTTGCCTTAACCCTCGCACCCACATTCTTCCCCTTTTTCAAGCGGCTGTTAGCACTCTGACATCATCACATACAATGCAGGTCCAGTAATCCTGCATTGAATTTGAGGACACCAGGGGCCTGCTTATAAATCAAAGTGTTGGAGAAAAGAGGAAAGCACCAGCTGTTGGGGAGCAATGGATAAGTAAAAACATTTTATGATGGTACCCTAGACAAAAATGAACATTTATTATTTTACCCCACTGCAAGGTTAGTTTTTTAATTTTCCCCGGAGTTCAGCTGGCTTGGAATTCTATGTAAAAAGTGTTAACCGTGGGGTAGTTATTTTTTCATTATACCCCATGCCCGAGTAACTCTCTGGCTTAATGCCAAGGAGACTGGGATCTTAAATCGGAGTTCCACCCAAAAGGGGAAGTTCCGCATTAAGCCTTTGTCCCCTGCTCTCCATTAAGGATTGGCACCTTTGAAGAGCGGGTACCCGAATTTGACAGGTACCCACTCCCACTTTTGCTGCTATCGCCTAGGTGATTGAAAGCGGAAGTTTGTCCCCCCCCCCCGTAGTCTTCTGGGACACGTGACAGATCCCAGAAGACTACGGGGCCATTCACAAAGCGCAGTGCTTCCTGCGTATGCACAGTGGGCACCCGACTGTGAAGCCACAAACTGTCACAGCCAGATGCCCACATATCCATTATGCTCAATCCGCAGATCCGATCCATTCTGCGGGGATCGTCGAAGGGGGTGTCACCAAGTGTTACCGCACCGGGTGACACCAACCCTAGGGATGCCTCTGTAGTAAATATACTGTGACCGAGCAGCAAGTGGTTAAGTAATGATAAAGTTATCACCAAATAAACTGATCCATAGCAGAAATGTAGACATTGCTCTGGTTCATAGGGGGGTGAACAGGGGTGTGAGAGGTAAAGTGGTTAATCATAGTTCTAATCTAATAAATGTTAATTTGTAATGAAGATGGATTTATGCCTTTTATTTGATTTTAATAATTGAATTGATATTTAAAATTATTTTATTTATTTTTTTGCAAGTTTCTTGTATTTGATTTTAATAATTAATTTGATATTTGAAATGGTTATTTTATTTTTTATACAAGTTCATGAAACTAGCTTATTTTTCTAGGTTTTAATGTGAACCACTTAGATATTGCCCCCCGTTATGCCAGCATTCTCATGGGGATCTCAAATGGAGTTGGAACCTTATCTGGAATGGTGTGTCCACTCATTGTCGGCGCTATGACAAAGCACAAGGTATACCATGTGTACACTATTATTGGGCTTCTCATCACTGGATTAAATTGCTCTAAATTATGTTGAAAAGACGAGCTCAGTCAAAACAGAAATTACAGGAATGCATGGAACATCTACTATGTTATAAAATATCACATTCCTGATAAGACAGGATTCAGTATATGGTCAGTTTTTTAAAAAAAATCTTATCTAAAGCTGCACCCCTGGAAGAAATAAAATTCACAATTTTATCAATTACTTTATTTATACATAGTTACATAGTTAGTCTGGCTGAAAAAAGACAAAAGTCCATCCAGTTCAATCATAAAAAAAAAAAAAAAAAAAAATTATAATCCTACACCCACAGTTGATCCAGAGGAAGGCAAAAAACCCAGCAAAGCATGATCCAATTTGCTCCTGCAGGGGAAAAAAAATTCCTCTCTGATCCCCCAAAAGGTAATCGTATATTCCCTGGATCAACTTGACCTATAAATGTTAGTAACCAGTTATATTCTGTGTATCCAAGAAAGAATCCAGGCCTTTTATAAAGAAATCCACTGAGTTGGCCAGAACCAACTCTTGAGGGAGTCTATTCCACATTTTCACAGCTCTCACTGTGAAGAAACCTTTCCGTGTTTGGAGATTATATTTCTTTTCCTCCAGACGTAAAGAGTGCCCCCTTGTCCTCTGTGATGAGCTCAGGGTGAATAGCTCTATATCGAGTTCACTATATGAACCACTGATGTATTTATACATGTTGATCATATCCCCCCTTAATCTCCTCTTCTCAAGAGAGAATAAATTCAGTTCCTCTAATCATTCCTCATAGCTGAGCTCCTCCATGCCTCTTATCAGTTTGGTTGTCCTTCTCTGTACTTTCTCCAGTTCCCCAATGTTCTTTTTGTGAAGTGGTGCCCAAAACTGAACTGCATATTCCAGATGAGGTGTTACTAATGATTTGTATCGGGGTAATATGATAGCTCTCTCTCTGGAGTCTATACCTCTTTTAATACAAGAGAGGATTTTCCTCGCTTTAGAAACCGCAGCTTGGCATTACCTGCCATTATTAAGCTTGTGATCTACCAGAACCCCCAGATCCTTCTCCACCATTGATTCCCCCAGTTGTACCCCCACTAGTATGTATGATGCATGCATATTCTTAGCCCCCAAGTGCATAACCTTACATTTATCAGCATTAAACCTCATTTTCCACTTAGTTGCCCAATTAAACAGTGCATTGAGGTCGGCTTGTAAATTGGAGACATCCTGTAAGGACGTTATTCCACTGCACAGCTTGGTGTCATCTGCAAAGACTGAAATGGGATTTTTAATCTCAGACCCTATATTGTTTATAAATATATTAAAAAGTAAGGGTCCCAACACTGAACCTTGGGGTACACCATTGATGACCCAGACCATTCAGAGTATGAATCAGTGACCACTACTCTCTGAATACAATCTTTTAGCCGGTTTTCTAGCCATTTACATACAGATTTTTCCAAGCCCGTAGACGTTACCTTACACATTAGCTGTGTGTGGGGAACTGTGTCAAAGACTTTTGCAAAATCCAAGTATGCCACGTCCACCGCCACCCCTCTGTCCAAGTATACCACGTCCACCGCCAACCCCTTTGTCCAAATATACCACGTCCACCGCCACCCCTCTGTCCAAGTATACCACGTCCACCGCCACCCCTTTGTCCAAGGTTTTGCTTTTGACCATTTACAGGTTGGTCGGGACCTTGACCAGGCTGTATTACTGAACTGCAGTGTGGGTCTCAGGAACTGTAATTTAAAGTACATATATTCTACCGCTAGGGAGTGAAGAAAGGTAGTTAAGGTTCAGGGTGGAGGTGGCTTCCTGTGAAGGTACAATGTATCTGGTATGCAATGAATTGGTTTTCACTAAATCAGCTTTGTTTTCATACTTTCCTTCTAGACACGTGAAGAATGGCAGAATGTATTTCTAATAGCAGCGATAGTCCATTATAGTGGTGTTCTATTTTATGGCATCTTCGCTTCAGTGTGAGAAGCAAGACTGGGCGGATCCAGAAAGCCTTAGTGAAGATAAGTGCGGAATTATTGAGAATGATGAGCTGGCGGAGGAAACTGAACTGAACAATGAATCATTTAGCAGTCCAACAAAAAAAATGAGTTATGGCGCCACCATCCAGAGTAACGAAGTACGCAGGGCAGGATGGAAGAAACAGAAGGGAATGACACAGGACATTGATGAACAAAATTCCTATCAATATGAAAATGGGAATTTTCAGGACTCCTAAGAACAATGCACATGTGTTTACCTGAGCTTAATGTCTGTGTCATCAGATTACTGTTCAACTTGAGAGTGCAAGAGATAAAAAGAAACTACTTAAGTATTGCTGCAAAGTGGATGATAATGATCATTACTTCATGTAAATGAGCCAGAAGAAAGGTCACATTTAGATTAGCCACTGAACATATAGATTTCCTATACCAGAACATGGTACAGATCACACTGAATTAGTAGTCCCATTTCTCATGCTATGCAACTTTAACATGCATGTGTCATTGATAACTTGTTGACGGGTCTCTTTTGATTAATACAATTCTTAATGATAATTTATTTTAAAATCTTACATCCAGTATTGTTTCCGTTAGGGATAATAAATTGCTGTTCTGTAATACCCCAGTTGTTAAAGTGTTGATGTTTTCTATTCATTCTTAAAGAAGAACTCCAAGCAAAAAAAAAAGGGCCCGTTCTATTTCGTTAAGAATATAAACACTGTAGTACTCCTATAATCAGCTCTTCCAAAAGAACCCTTTTCTAATTCTATTTCCGAAATATGCATCCTAAACAGAATAAACAGCACTTTTATTAGTATGCAAATGATGACATTTTGTCCAGAGTCAGAGGTTAGACTCTTCTTCTTTGCATCTCAGACCACTCCCCTTGGCTCTTGGTGTATGCAGACTAGTGACATGTGACTGTCACAGGAAGGGCAGAGGTGTCTATGAAGTGTGGGCTGTGATTGACAGCTTGTTTTCATTTTCTTTTTATGGCGTCAGAATCAGGATGGTTTTGCCCCCCCCAAAAAAAGAATAACTGGGTCTTAGTGGACAGACTGGGCCAGAGTTTTTGTTCACTGATCATACACAGGTGATTTATAGGTGGAATAGTTCACATTTGTCAGTAGTTTCTGTAAACACTGGAAAATGAAAAGGTTGCTTTAAGCCCACATGATCTAAAAAAAAAAAAAGTTGAATTAAAGTGTTCCTAAGCTCACAACAGTAAAATCAGTCTGTATGTGCAGTAAAACATGCGTGTTATACTCACGGTGGAACCTAAGGGGTTAATCCTCTGCATTGTGTAAAAAGGCCGTTTGATCCTGTTTTCTCTGCCCCTCCTCTTGTTCAAATGTCCACCTGATAAGACAGACTGAACCGGTAGCCACATGCACATGCTCAGTTTAGTGTGTATTGTTAGAGAGGTTTTTTCTTTTCTTGGGAGAGTGCATGTGCATCAGCACAGGGCCAATCAGCATTGTCCAGACAGAGGTCAGGGGTTTTGCATCCTCCTAGAGCAGAAAGAAAACAAGCTTTAACCAGTGCTCGGCTGGACACTGATAGAAGTCACAAGACTGCTCTAACTGCTGATGAGAAAAGGTATTTAGCAGTTTATATTTACTTAAATAATGGCATTTCCATGTTCTGTGTACTGTGGGAGATTAGATATAGTGAATGCAGGGTCCTGGGTTTAGTAACACTTCAATGTTTTTATTGTGTTATTATAAATTACCTACAAACCATTGTCAGGTTATTCAATCATCCTCTACATGCTGAAAGAGAAAATATTAAAAGGTAGAGGAGTGAGCCGTTTAATCTCCACCCCTGAGGCTGAATTTCACCATCTATGAGGCATCTGGGGAGTGGTAAAAACCTTTATTAAGTTTAAAAAAGTGTAAAAAAATCTAATTTAAATAACAAACAACTAAATTTAGTTTTAAAAGCAACTGGCTACCTGAAGACACAGCACTGTCCCTATAAAAAGGAAAAGACAGAACCTGGTTCCAGTTCTAAATCTTCTACAGGCCCAATTGGTCTTGTACAGTTCAGATAAAAGGAGATGTGTAGACAGCATCTTGTTTTAAGGAAAAGTTCACTCACCAGGCATGAACTACAAAAATCACCAAAAAACTGGCATAACACAAAAAAACGTTACACGTGGCCTTATAACTGCTTGAAAATCAATTTTTTTAATCTTTGATTGGAGTTCCTCTTTAAAGGAGATATCACCACAGTTCTTCATATGTTGTGGACATCCATTGTCTATTGGGACAGTGTTTTTGTCTTTATATCTTTAGGACATGTTCTGGTTGAGTATATAAGTGTTTCAAACTCCTGTTTTTATACACTGTATAAAATGGGCATTCTATGTGGCAATTACTAATAAACACTATTTGTGTTTCATTTCATGGGTATGGAATAATGTATCATCAATACAATTGTGTTGTCTGCTCTCTTCAAGTTGTACGGTAAATGGTTCAATTGAATTTTACTGAAGAACATGAGTCTGTTGTACTCCTCAAGGTTATCTACCTACAGGCTACGCCATGCTATAAATATCAAATTGTTTGAGCCGGATGCAGAACTAAGTCCAGGGGAAGCCCCGGTTCAAGTTGCAAGACAAGTCAAAACACATTCATTTCAATGGGAGCCGTCTTAATCAATGCGACTCAAGTCGTAGTGACACTAAAGAGGTTCCTGGCACTACTTTTCTGCTTGGTGCAATTTGAGTGCCATAGATTGCAATCTTAAATCACAAAAGGCACAAGCAAGTTGCAAGGAAGTCACAAGCGAGTTGCACGACTTTGAAGTCGCAGCAGTGTGAACTGAAAGGAAGATGACAGTGTTGGATATATACATTACGATTCTGTCACACTATACCAGAAATGCAGCTTTAAACTTAGTTCACCTTTACAGATAGAAATGTAAATGTGAGCTAACACTGTACACCCTCCCCACTGCCCTGGTCTCCACTGTGCTTACCTCCGGGGGTGCTGTGCTATCAGTGCCCATGCAGCTGGTAAAGTGGTCCGGGAACAGGGGTGGACTGACCATTTGGAAACTTGGGCACTGCCCAAGGGCCCGGGGTCAGTAGGGGGCCCCATGAGATGCCCCAGTACCTTTTTCATAGGCTTTTTTGAGTTTGAACAAGGACACAGGGGCCCCATGATCCCCTATTGCCCAGGGGCCCCATGAGTTGTCAGTCTGCCCCTGTCCAGGAATATGAAAATTGCAGCTCTTCTCACTCTTCTCTGTGCAGCGCTTATGGGACTGACCAAAGCAGTTCACCGTGCAGGTGGTGACCAATCAGAATAGCTCTGGTCTGTCCCGGAATCGCTGAGGGAGAAGAGCAGGGATCCAAAATCCCTGGGCAGCTTGACCGGCTGCATGGCCACTGACAGCTCAGCATCCCTGGAGGTAAGTATAGCAGGGACTAGTGTGTGTGTGTGTTTGGGGAGGGTGTACAGTGTTCACTTTTACATTGAAAAAAAAAAATCCTGATCCCTTGCTCAGAGTGTTATTATGGTAACATTGTATTGCTTTGGGCACAGTGTGTTAAAAAAAAAAAAGGAAAGAAAAGAAAAAAAACAATGTAATAAAAAAGAAAAAAATAGAAAAATTAAAAAGAAAATTTTAATTTAATTATTATTATTATTTTTTTTACATACCTGTCACCAGTCAGTTTCTCTGATCACCGCCACACCAGTTATATAATAACGCTGTACTGGACTGGTGATAATATGTAGAAAAAAAAAAAAAAAAAAAAAAGTGATTTTGTTTTTTTTTTAATCTCTACATTTTCCAAAAAATTGTAACAAAAAATTACAACCTCCTAAAAACTCACCATGCCTCTTACTAAATACCTTGAATTGTCTATTTTCCAAAAATGGGTAATTTGTGGGGTATTTGTACTATCCTGGTGTTTTCAGGCCTCAAGAAATGAGATGGGCAGTCAGTACATTGATTGATCGATTATCAGATATATATACCATGGTTTGTGGACTTTATAACTTTCCTACAGACTAAATAATATACACATTGGGGTATTTTCACCAAAGAAATGTAGCAGAATACATTTTGATCTAAGTTTATGAAGAAATATTATTTATTTGCTAAATTTTATAACAGAAACAAGAAAAATGCATTCTTTTAAGGTTTAAGGTTTTTTTTTTTTGTTTTATTTAGCAAAAAATAAAAAACTCTGTGGTGATTAAATACCACTAAAAGAAAGCGCTATTTGTGTTAAAAAATGATTAAACATTTTTATGGGTACAGTGTTGCATGACTGCACAATTGTAATTCAAAGTGCAACAACAATGAAAGCTGAAAATTGGCCTGGGCAGGAAGAGGGTAAAAGTGCCCTTTATTGAAGTGGTTAAAGTAATCCTGTGATTTGCCAATGCAAAGCAACAGAAAAGGCTTACTTTAAAGTGTTACTAAACCCACAACAGTAAAATCAGTCTGTACTGTATGTCTAGGAAAGCATGCTTGATATACTCAATGTGGAACCTAAGGGGTTAATCCTCTGCATTGTGTAAAAAGGCCATTTGATCCTGTCTTCTCTGCTCCCCCTCTTGTTCAAATGTCCACGTCTTATCTCCTGATAAGGCAGACTGAACCCGTAGCCACATGCACATGCTCAGTTTAGTGTGTATTGCTAGAAGAGTGCATGTCATCAGCACAGGGCCAATCAGCACTGTCCAGATAGAGGTCAGGGGTTTTGCATCCTCCTGAAGCAGAAATAAAACTCCTCCTACAAGCTTTAACCAGTGCTCAGCTGGGCACTGATAGAAGTCACAAGACTGCTCTAACTTCTGATGAGAAAAGGTATTTAGCAGTTTTTATGTTTACTAAAAAAAATTGCACTTCCATGTTCTGTGTACTGTGGGAGACCAGATATAGTGAATGCAGGGTGCTGGCTCAGCACTGTGACACAAGGACCAGCAGACAGTCCTCATTGTAAGCTCCAGCTAGAGAGATTTGAGTTTACAGAGGGCTTCCTTTTACCATTCCTAGTAGCTAAAGGAAATGACAAGGGAGTAAGAAGAATGGGTAAGTGCTGTTGGGGAGGGTGGCATTTTAGAATATTTAAACACAAGGAAAACATGTAAAATATAACTTACCAGTCCTTAGACATGGTGACTGCATTAGTTTTCATATTTAAAGCTATGAACATGTTCAGCGAGTACAGAAAATATCTGTTGATCATACCTGTAATCCAGACCTCTTCTCTGTGAATTGAACTGATATAGTAAATAAAGGTATTTTCATTCCAACCTCTCTCCTGTAAAATACTAATTCCCCTGCCCCCATGTAATGGAAATAAAAGGAAATGTGTTTGTAGCCCTGTCCTGGGGTGACAAAACTTACTTCCTCCATAAATACAGTGGAAAAGTGAATGTAGGTACACAGGGACAGAAAGTGTGTTGTTCACAGAATTACCAGATTACAAAGGAAAAAAGCCTACAAGAAGAAAACTAATGCAAATGTAGCTACCACATCTAGGCACTGCTATGTTACAATATATTACATTTTGATTTTGGGTTTAAAAAAAAGGTATTAAACCCAAAAAACAAACATTTATTATATTGCAGCTTACCAATTCTTAGATGTGGTGGCTGTATTAGATTTCCTTTTTTTTAGTTTTTTCTTATTTTCACCTGGTGATCCTGCCAGTAAGTATGTTGAAAAGGTAAGTCTATTGTTTTTTCAACAGACCAAGCTGTCCTGGAGATGTATCAGTTAGAGGGTTGAGACGAACCATTTAATACTGACAGGTATGCTTACACTGATCAGCTTTTATTCATTGTATGTAAAACCTTTCTTCCAAAAGGAAAGATACTGTTTCTGTAACTGCTTATAAAGTGTGAGCTAGAGTTTGGCTTCAAATTGTACCTAAATCTTCTAGTACACCTAACACACTCTCCTCCCTTCAGACTGTCAATACTGCTGTCCAAATGAGACTCTGCTGCTCCTTCATCCAGAGTGTAGGCACTCTAATACAGGAGATTTGTTAATAGCCAGATCACCAGGTGAAAACAAAGGAAAAAATCCAAAACAGCAAGGATCAGTAAGATGCCATATATTACATTTATGATTTAGATTTAATACTGCTTTGAGCTCACCACATACACTATATTGCCAAAAGTATTGGGGTGTCTGCCTTTACACACACATGAACTTTAATGGCATCGCAGTCTCAGTCCGTAGGGTTCAATATTGAGTTGGTCCACCCTTTGCAGCTATAACAGCTTCAACTCTTCTGGGAAGACTGTCCACAAGGTTTAGGAGTGTGTCTATGGGAATGTTTGACCATTCTTCCAGAAGCGCATTTGTGAGGTCAGGCACTGATGTTGGATGAGAAGCCCTGGCTCCCAGTCTTCGCTCTAATTCATCCCAAAGGTGTTCTATCAGGTTGCGGTCAGGACTCTGTGCAAGCCAGTCAAATTCCCCCACCCCACACTTGCTCATCCATGTCTTTATGGACCTTGCTTTGTGCACTGGTTGCAGTCATTTTGGAACAGGAAGGGGCCATCCCTAAACTGTTCCCACAAAGTTGGGAACATGAAATTGTCCAATATGTCTTGGTATGCTGACGCCTTAAGAGTTCCCTTCACTGGAATGAAAGGGGCCAAGCCCAACCCCTGACCATACCAAACCCATACCATAATCCCCCTCCACCGAACTTTACACTTGGCACAATGCAGTCAGGCAAGTACCCTTCTCCTGCCAACCGCCAAACCCAGACACGTCCATCAGATTGCCAGACAGAGAAGCGTGATTCATCACTCCAGAGAACACATCTCCACTGCTCTAGAGTCCAGTGACGGTGTGCTTTCCACCACTGCATCCAACGCTTTGCATTGGTGATGTAAGGCTTGAATGCAGCTGCTCGGCCATGGAACCCATTCCATTAAGCTCTCTACACACTATTGTTGTACTAATCTGAAGGCTACATGAAGTTTGTAGGTTTTTAGCTATTGACTCTGCAGACAATTGGTGACTTCTGCGCACTGTGAGCTTCAGCATGTGCTGACCCCGCTCTGTCATTTTTACGTGGCCTACCACTTCATGGCTGAGTTGCTGTTGTTCCCAGTTGCTTCCACTTTGTTAGAACACCACTAACAGCTGACCATGGAATATTTAGTAGCAAGGAAATTTCACGGATGGATTTATTGTTTTACCATCAACAAAGAAACACCCAAGAGAGCCACGGCAAAGTTTTTGCTCAGACAAATGGACTCTGATAAACTAATGACTTTGCAAGTATTCTTCCTTCTTAACTTTTTATTTCTCTGTTGCTTTATTGTTTTCTTTATTTCTTTGTAACATCCCTTTCTGTAAATAATTTAATTGCACCATTTGATCTTTTCATTAATAAACCCTATTTTGAAACGCGTTAAAACTATCTCCAAGGCTTTTAATGCAAACTAAAGAATACCTGTCTCTTGAAGAGTGCTACTGTATATAATAATCCTCTGAATACACCTGTCTGTGGTGACAGTGTGTATTACAGGTGTTTATTGTTCACATCTGTTCTTGCTAACATTGGGAAGGGTTGATAGTCCCAAAACTATCTGGTGGCAGTTTGGAGTTTGAAGGGTTAATTGTGTAATTAACCTAACCCAGTGACAGGCTGATGGCACCTAGATTGTGGTCCTCAGTGTTAGGATATAAACTATCAAGTGAAACCAACTAGAATTCACCCCGATTAAGTCAGACCAGTACATCATGGTTTCTGATTAGTTGCTATAAATTGTGGCATGTAAGAATTAGCACACTTTGAATAATGTCCATACAGTATATCAAGCTCAGTTACATTTTTAAATGTACAAATATTGTATCTTTCTTTCTTTTGGAGAAAGCATCTGGTTATGTTATCATTTCTGATAGTAAATGCTTTGTACCTGGAGGAACATGAAAAAGGTTATTAATCCTTGCTTTTTTTCCAGGATGATGTGCCCAAAATATCTATTATTTTGTACTTGTAATTATCATGATACATCCAATATATTTCTTTCATTTATTTAGGAAAGTTATACCTTTAGGAGAGTAACCAAGTCTAATTCAGGAAAATCAAATTGAAAGAAAGAAAAAAAGGGGTTTTATGATGTCTGAAGTAACTCACCCCCCAAATTTGCAAAAGCGCCAATGTGGTGGTGAGTAATTCAGTTTGGACATCCCACTTTTGCATCCTCTTTACTAATGCCTTATTGCATATTTGTTATTGAGAAAGAAGGAACAGTTTTTCTCTGGTCCCTCTTGTGGAAATATGGAATTGTATCCTGTATCCTCAATCCTCTTCTTTTATAGAGCCAGCTAGCCCAAGAGGTTACCTGATTTTACCCCTGGCATTGATGTCGGTGACTGCAATAATACCACAGCAGCAGTGGTCAGGGGCAGTGCTATTTAAATTTTACTTCAATGGCAGTTAGAGACAAAGCTGTTAACCCCCTTCAACCCTTTTCCTGCATTGATGTTCAGTGGAAAGTGTTATTTTAAAGAAAAAGCAATTGGTGACCAGTGCAAGTGCTGTTAACCACCCAACACACACACATTGGGGGGGTCAGTGGCAGTGTTATTTAACCCCTCCCACCTGTATTGATATTAACTCTCCCCAGTCTCTACTTAGGCACCATTCACATGGGTGTTTTGCCATGTTGCTAATCCAGGTAGATTCCTGCTACTGGGATTTGCAGCATGACAAAATGTCTGTGTGAATGGTGCCTTACCTGTTCACCCACTGCTATGGAGCTCTCTCTACCTGTAGGCATTGGGACTGGGACTGTATTTCCACTGTTGGGTGGAGATCACTTTGCCTGACAGTATCTGCTACAGTTCAGTACTGGTTACAGGAATGCAGAGAGTGTCCCGCTGCCCCTATGCACGGTATTCAACAGGTGGCAGACCCAGCCTAGGATGTGGCAGGCCCACAGGCCACTTGTTGGGCACCAGAACTTTAAGATATCTATTTAGATACCTGAAGCAGATACTGGCAAAAGGTTTTATTGGCCCTGGATAATTAGCTGTTGTACAAAAAGCTCTATCCTGGCCACAAATTAAGCAATAACTGGTAAATGAATAAACTTTAAAGAGTCGTAGAGTATGACACATGACTATAGCTTGTAATAAACAAAACAATAAAACATCTAAGTGACATTACCAGTGGGCAGTGAGCTGTCCATCACTATATCACCATGTTGATCGGTGATTTTCCTCAAGACTTGGTAATGAGCGTCAGTGGTACACGTTTCTCAATGGAAAAATAAATAGTTATTACCTGTTGAAAAAACTTTCATAGGTCTCTGTGATGAAACAACAACTGCTTTCAGGGACAGGACACACTCGCAAATGCACCTTATGAAGACCCTACATGGCTTGATTCCCATGTGACACAATGAGACCTTACATTTTAGTTGTACAATACCATCTCACTATCTCTGGTGGTTCTAACATATGATAAAGGAGATGCCACGGTTTCTTAAGGAAGGTTATGTCCTATAAACTTAGTGGTCATACAATTAACAAATAAACCCGATTTATACTTAAATTACTAAAAGAATATGCTGGCCTTCTGAATCACATCTGTGTGTAACAATAATGTGTCGCAAAGTGTATGATTTACTGCAACACAGGGTACTGATATATGGTACAATATGTACATGCCATTCATGTGTGTTTCACATCACTGTGAAAAAACAAATCCATCTCAATACCCTGCCCCTTTTGCTGATATGTATTAAAGTACTTGGCTTGTAGTGGTACCTTTGTAAATCAAGAAAAATAATGACCAGAAAAAATAGTGCATAGTAATGAGCTCTTTTAATTGAAGCAGAACTCATGCTAAAAATAAAAAGATAAAATGAATAGCCAGTAAAAAAGATACAATAACAAAATCAGTTTTTGTTGCAATATCCAACTTTAATTTAGAGATGCCCTGCACAGCTCTTTTTTTTTGCAGTTGGATATTCTCAATATGATGGCTAGTATCATTTAACCACTTCCTCTAAACCCTGATCATCCTGGGCCTAGCCCAGCTTGTGATTGGGCATTGAAAAGGCAGCACAGCAATGGAATCTCCGTGTCTTTGCTTTCTCTTGCTATTGCCATGCTTTTTGTTGGCACATGAACTGATAGGCTCCTTGTGCTGCTACTTCCTCTTATACTCCTGCCATGCTGTATAGGGGCTTCAAGAGACTGATGCAGGGACTTATACTGCTTACATTTAAAAAACACATATGTATAGCATACAGTACTTCCTGATTTGTCACTTTCTAAACTCAGACAAACACAGAAACCTCTTGAACTGATCACTCACCCAGTTCCTGAGAAGGACCTCTCGTCTTCCCATTCTTGTGAAACCAGCCTAGGTTTATAATTTTCTGCAGAAAATTGGGAACACAAAAAAAAAATCTCATACGTAAAAACTCATTTAGTGTAAATATCCAAGAAACAAAGTACAATATATATGTGTGAGATGGTACTATACTCTGGTAATACTCTATCACATTTCCCTAGATCTGCTTGACACATGCTGGAGGTGTAAACAGGCTCAATACATATTCCTGCATATATGGTGGTAATGCCTACAAATTCAACCTTTCTGAATGGATGTACACTAATTAAAAGCCCTCATTATTTTTTGCACCCTGGACCTACAAGTGCCATTTCTTTTTCACTACTTCAGCCTCCCAGTGAAAAAAAAAATCTGAAAGCTCTCTCCTCCTACACCTATTAAACATAATCCCAAAACAATGGAAATCACTCTGCCCTGCAGTCCTCTAGGAGGGGATTTTGTTGTATTAACAGCATAGGGGGCATGAAATAACTAATTTACATAAGCCAAGACAATTTGATTCACTATCAACACACCTGCACCTCATGGCTCCTATTTAAATACAACCTCACTTAAAAAACTTCCCGACAGACACCTAACTTCTTTGATAAACAGCAATAACTTAAATTTTGGATCTCCTTTTCCCAGTAGCAACCTGGATTTCCTATAAGGGAGATGTATCAGGGGCTCCATGGGGCCAGCACAAATTCTTCTCTACCTACTTTTCCTACCTTACCTTCTATCTCCTCTAATAACCCAATGTCCGTATCACCACTTTTCATCCGTTCTCTGACTTAACTCCCCATTACCCAATCCTGCTTATGAAGTTTAAAAAGCCTGCCTAGTCCCAGACTATTCTGTTTATTTAGATACCAAGATACTAGAAACAGGAAAAGAACTATACAGTTGTCTAACATTGCTGTTCTGTGGTTATGGATTCCTACTATAGTATCATCATCATGGCTTGATTACAGAAGACCAACCTTCTGACTTGCATTGGAACACAATTATGAGACTTTAACCCTCTCTTCTAACTTCCCCCCTCATCCGCTCACCTTCTTCACCCCACACTTTGGCCCCCCTCAAAAAAAAAAAATTATTTGTATCACCATTGGAATCTTGGAATCTAAAAAAAATCTTCTTGTGCAGACCACTCTGCTTCTCCTCTATTCTTGTATTGAAAAATCTTCTATATGTGTTATAAAAATAAGTTCAATGATGTATTAGTGATTACAGCACTGCAATATTTGGTGTTATTTATATCTGCGTAGAGTTCAGCTTTGAAATAAATGACTGTACAGATAAGCCAACAATTCTTGTTACTTTGAGAAAATTAACCTGTACATCCCTGAAACATCTTGTTACATTTCAATATGGTTATTATCTTTAAATAAAAGTTGTTAGTTTTCTGTATGGCTATTTTCTTAAATTGCTAAGTAACATTGCGATGCTGGCCATCTGTTTTTTCCATTTTCAGTAAACTACAACACGCATATATGGATCATCTTGCCAAAGGCGACCCAGACAACAATGAAAACCTGACAGAAGTGTTTATCCTTACCCTGCTGGAAAACTTTTGGCTGAAGTTTCACTTTCATTTAATTTGATTAGACCTATCACTTATGTATAAAAAAAGTCAGTTAATGCACAAAATATATAAAGAATAAACTGAGAGCTTGGATATATTTTATTTACAGTATCTACCATAGCAGTGAAATATTAGTTTTGAGTGGACTAAGCCTTTAGCATAAAAATGTTGCAATAGTGTTGCAATATATACTATTTTGAGCTAATTGTGTCAGTTCTTGATACTGGCTTTACAAGAAAAATTTCAAAAGGCATAATCAGAGAAACTAGAAATAATAAATGTGTTTCCCACATCAAACATATTCCAGTGTAATATCAGTAAAAAAAAAATAGAAAATTAGAG